TGTATGCACTGACGGAATGCAAGCTCAAAGCAAGACGCATTGATGCAGAACAAATGTGTATAAAACTGTTGATTATGTGCATTTGTTATGTTGAGAATGACATGCCGGTTGCTGTTACTTCATTGTGGATATTTCAGGGTTAAACCTCTTCAGGGGTCCGTCCTTACATGTTACAGCCCCACTTACCATACATGAGTGAAAAATTAGAGAAAGATACTAGGTTGCGAAGATGTATCGTAACACGTTTTGGACCATGTAGTTTCGAGGGCACTGGCTTCCACCTGGTAACGAATCCTTTCAACCCTCTTCCCCGCTTCGCAAAACCACCCAGGGTTCTGGACTTTTGATGAACGATCGGCAAACCGAGTCAACCAAGCAACTCAGCCTAGCAACAAGCGGGTGTCAGATTAGTCGTTTCCCGCGAAAACTTTCGCGAGTCGATATCCAATCTCGTTACGTGTCGCGAGCATGGCTGCTTCACCCGCTGCGAGCCGGTCCGTAGGGAAGTGCAAACAGGGGCGGAAGAGAGGCGGAGCGGGCGGAGCGCCGCCAGAAACGCGGGGAGGTGGAGGAACAGCGGACGAGGGACGTGAGGGGGAGAAAATTGGCGCAGGTGGTGGTGCGGAGGAGAGGAGAGTGGCGGATAGTGGGCGGAAGGAGGAAGCGGCAGATGGCGCGCCGCGGAAGGAGGCAGAGGCGGAAGGGCGGCGGAAAGATGCAGGGGGAGGGGGAGCGGGGCGGAGTGACGTGGATCGAAACACGGTGTTCGTGCGCAACGTCTCGTTTAAAGCCACACAGAGCGATGTAGGTGTCTTTTCTACTGTGTCGAGTGTATCTCTTAGCGCGGACGAATTCCTTGTAGCATTTCCCGCAGGAGACGCGGCTTTAAAGCTTTACCCCTACGCGTACGGGTTAGCGCGATTGTATTCCGTTTGAAAGCAAATTAGAATCAGGGACGAGTCGGCTCGAACTTGTCTGAAATCATTTCAATGTGAAGCAGCGGAGAAGGAAAAACCTCTAAACCCTTCTTCCTTTCCACCCCTGCTCTCCCTTTCCCCGCATCACCATTACCCCCCTAACCCCCGCTTCCCCTTTTCCACTGCTCGCCCTTTCCCTTGGTTCTCCCGGCTGCGTCCCGCCTTCAACCCCAAACCCCGACCCACCCCATCTCTCCCATCTACGCCGCGCTCCACCTCCCTCTTTCCCGTTGCAAGTAACCGCCTCACGTCGTGCCCCAATACCTCACACACCTCTCCCACCAACTCCCCCTGCCTCTTGCATCTCGAGGGCTCTCTTGGCAGTGGGTCTCATTCGAAGTGCCAGTGCATCCTCGTGACACAGACAGGAGCAGCGCTTATCTCCCTCTCTCAACCCGCTTCCTCCGCCGTCTTATAACCCCCCCTCCTCCCTGCAGCTGGAGGGGTTCTTCTCAACTGTGGGTCCCATCCGAAAGTGCTTCCTCGTGGCTCAGAAAGGTGCGTTCCTATCTCAGGAAATGCTATCCAGTAATCAACTCCCTTTTTCCCTGTTGTACATTTCGCATCAGAAGGCCTTCAATGGCCGACATTTGTTTTCTCTCTCCTCACCTGCTCTTGCGTTTGCTCCTCTCATCTCCTCCTCTCATCTGCTCCTCTCATGTGTGGTGGTTTCATTTCATCTCCCCTCATGCACTCCAGGCGCGGAAACGCATCGAGGAATGGGATTCGTGCAATAGTAAGTGCATCTTGCTTGCTTCGGTTTCTTGTGCCATGTGTTTGTGATTGCTCACGCGTATACATCTTGAAAGCTCATGCTTCTGCATCAATGGCTTCTGAGCGGTTCTTCAACCGAGTTTGACTATTGAGTCGACTCGAAGGTCAACTCAGTAGTGAGTGCAGCTCATGTCTGTTTCTTGTTCCATGAGTATTATTTTCTTATGCTGCTTGTTTCGCCCTGAAAGTGTATGCTTCTGCTATAAGTGTTTCTGAGTTGGTTCATCAGCGTTTCTAGTCATTTCTGTCTACAGTAGCATCTGCTGCTCCTTCATTCCTTTTGTTCATCCCAACTCTCCTCCCCTACCCCCCTCCTCCTCTCCTCGCAAACCTCCACCACCCACAGCGCGCTAGCACAGGACGCAGAGAGGGCAGTGAGAGAGAAGCGGCTGGAGGGCACACCCACTGACCGGTCGCATATCTGACTTATTAGACAGCTCCTTGCTTCCTCTCGCACCCCTGTTAACTAACCGGTACCCCTCCTTCTTCCCGCCCCCTCTCTTACCCCTCACCATCCATCAGTGCACTAGCAGAGGACGCAGAGAGGGCAGTGAGGGAGCTGGGGGGAAAGCGACTGGAGGGCAGTCCCCTCGCTTATCCGCTTGCTTCTTCTGTCACCCACTCACCACTTACCGACATCTCCCCCCTCCCCCCGTCCCCTTTTGCACGCTCCTTCCACCATCCATCAGCGCGCTAGCAGAGGACGCGGAGAGGGCAGTGAGGGAGCTTGGGGGAAATCGGCTGGAGGGCAGAGCCTCTGACCTGTCGCATATCTGACTTATCAGACAGCTCCTCGCTTCCCCTTGAACCCCTGCTAACTAACCGGTACCCCCCCTTCTTCCCGCCCCCTCTCTTACCCCTCACCATCCATCAGCGCACTAGCAGAGGATGCGGAGAGGGCAGTGAGGGAACTCGGGGGAAAGCGGCTGGAGGGTAGACCTCTGGCAGTGGAGCTGGCGAAGAGGAGAGCGCCTCTGGGTGAACGGCTGGCCAAGAGGGGGCCGCGACCGCAAGGTGAGTGAGGTGAAGGGGAGGAGAGGAGATTTATTTAGTGGGTGGAGAAGCGAAGCCTTTCTTTGGTGGCTGGAAGGGCGGCCCCTGGCTGTAGAGCTGGCGAAGAGACGAGCGCCTCTGGGCGAACGGCTGGCTAAGAGAGGGCCGCGGTCGCAAGGTGCGAGGGGTGAAGTGGGGGACATTTGTTAGTAGGTGGAGATGCAAAGCCTTTCTTTGGTGGCTGGAGGAAAGACCTCTGCTCTGGCGGTGGAGCTGTGAAGAAACGAGCTCTTCTGGGAGAACGGCTGGCCAAAAGAGGGTCGCGGCCGCAAGGTGAGGAGAGAAAAAGGAGGCAAGGCATATATTTAGAAGAGTACGGCCTGCATTTGGCTGGCGGTTGGAAGGGCGAACTCTGGCTGTAGAGCTGGCGAAGAAACGAGCTCCTCTGGGCGAACGGCTGGCCAAGAGAGGGCCGCGACCGCAAGGTGAGGAGAGAAATGGCATCTTTCTGTTCTAGCTGGGGAAGAAGTACGGAGGAAAGCGACTCTGTCCTTGACTCTGTGGAAAGCGGCTGGAGGGGCGACCACTGGCTGTAGAGCTGTGAAAGAGATGAGCGCCTCTGGGCGAATAACTGGCTACTGGCTATTAATAATAACTAACTGGGAAGGAGTGAAGGGATCATTTTTGTGGAAGGTGATGGACGGCTGACAAAGGGCATGTGTCTGACAAAGTGACAAAGGTGATCACTTTGAGAATTCCAAGAACTGGGAGGAGCAGCAGATGATGGGATTCGGAGAGAAGTGTGCAGGCAGAGGTTATACGGAATGTGGGGGATTGGAATATGGAGTGGAGCTGCCCTAGCCTTGACACTATCTGACCGGCCTGCACAGGCTGAGGAACAGCGCAATGGTGTTACCCATGCATGCCTAACCGTGCTCCCCCACCTCATCTCTTCCTTGCTTGCGTCGCTCCCTTGGCCTTTCTTGGTTGCTGCAGCACACCAGGTGGAGGACCAGGACGACCTGACCGGCCTGCACGGGCTGGGGAGGAGCAGCGGTGCTGCTGCTGCTCTTGCTGCTTCTTCAATCCTGTGTTCCCACCCATCCACCTCTCCCTTTGTTTCTGCAGCACATCAGGTGGAGGACCAGGACGATCTGACAGGCTTGCATGGGCTGGGGAGGAGCAGCGCACCAGATGGTTGCTTGCTTGCACCGAACTCTCTCCCTTTGACATATATCTGTCTGTTGTGCTGCCGTTTCAGCACACCAGGTGGAGGACCAGGATGACTTGACAGGCCTGCACGGGCTGGGGAGGAGCAGCGCAACGGTGGTCCTAACCGTGCCTAACGTGCTCCCACCTCATCCCTTCCTTGCTTGCGTCCCTCGCTTGGCCTCTCCTGCTTTCAGCACACCAGGTAGAGGACCAGGACGATCTAACCGGCCTGCACGGGCTGGGGAGGAGCAGCGCTCCAGATGGAGCGAGGACTGTTGCTACAGATGCCATGGGCAGGAAAATACCCACTCGCATCACCTTCCCTGCTGCTGACGCCGATGCTGCTGCTGCTGCTCCTGTTGCTCCTCCTGCCACACCTGCTGCCGCTGCTTCCCCTGCTGTTGCTGTGAGTGCACCTGCTGGTGCCCGGGACAAAGCATCAGCTGTAGCAACTCCAGGCAAGCGCGTCGAGGGGAGCAGCAAAAAGGAGAGAAAGGATAAGAAGGATAAGAAGGAGAAGAAGGGCCAGCCTGCTGCTGCTGGTGCTGCAACGGCAGCAGGAGGGAACAAGAAAGAGAGTGGCGGGTCGTCACTAAAGCAAAGGTGAAGCAGCTTGCAGCCATCCTTGTGATTCACATACCTTGCAACTTTTGTCTGCTCCTTGCAAATGCAGTGTACAAATTTGGTGGCCCTCTCTCCCCTCTCCAGGCCAGCCTGCACGGTCGTGTTTGGAGGTCTCTCATCCTCGGCAGCAGTGGCGCATGTCCTCTCTGCCGCTGCTATCTCTACCCCCCGAGGAGGTCACCAACCCCCTCCCCCACCCCTCTTCACACCTCTTTTCTTTCCTCCCTCCCCCAGGCCAGCCCGCACAGTGGTGTTCGGAGGGATCTCTTCCCCGGCAGCAGTGGCCCATGTCCTCTCTGCTGCTGCCTCTGTGTGTTTACTCCTCTCCACACGCCCCAACCACATCCGCACTCTCTCCCCTCTCCAGGCTAGCCTGCACGGTGGCGTTTGGAAACCTCTCATCCCCAGCAGCAGTGGCGCATGCCCTCACCGCTGCTGCTGCCTCCATCCACCACTGAGGAGGAGGAGGTCACATACCCTCTCTCCCCCTCTCTGCCTTGTCCCTCTCCTCCCTTTCCCAGGCCAGCCCGCACGGTGGTGTTCGGAGGGCTCTCATCCCCAGCAGCTATTGCCCATGTGCTCTCCGCTGCTGCTGCCGTCGCTGCCCCTGAGGAGGTCACCAACCCACTGCCAGAGGACGCTTTGAAGGAAAGAGGTAAAACACATGTCGTGAATCGTCTTTTGAGTTGACCCTAAATACTCAGGGGCGTCTACTACACCGTCAGTATTTAGGGTCAACTTAAAAGACGATTCACGACATGTAGTAGACGCCCCTGAGGAGGTCACCAACACCCAGCCAGAAGAATCATTCACTCAAGGAAGGATGCGAGTTTCATAAGTCATTCTCATTGTGTCTCCCTCGAGGGGGAAGGGTCCTGCATTAGAGAATGCAGTCGGTGAAGACTCTCCCTCCGTCTATTCCGCTTCTGCATCGCCTGTCTTAAACCACTGTCTCTTCTGCTGCTGACCCTCTCCCCGCATTCCCCCACTCCTCCAGGCTTAGTTTTCGAGGTTGCTCCACCCCTGCCACCTCTGTCTGTCCGTCTGTTATCTTCTCAGTTCTTTCTGTCACAAAGAAGCATGTTTCGAATCTCGAATCGTGTCTGCTTTCCCTCCCATCTCTCCCTCCACCAGGCCTAGCCCTTGACGGCTGCACACTCCCCGCACCATCTGCCAGGCTGTGCCATCACTGCGGTGCTGCGCGGTGGTGGCGGCATGGAATGGAGGTGCTGCAATGACCCTTTTCTTCCGCGTGCTTTCCCTCTCCCTCCCTCTCCCTCCCCGCCCACCAGGCCTAGCCCTTGACGGCTGCACCCTCCCTGCCCTCTCTGTCGTCTTCCCGTCTGTGCGTGCCGCTCGCCAAGCTGTGGCATCGCTGCACGGCTCTACGGTTCCAGGCGGCGCAAAGGAGGGCGGTGCGGAGGAGGGTTGTACAGTAAAGGCCGGTGCGGAGGCTGGTGGCTCGGTGCAGAGCGTGACTGTGTGGGCGAGGCAACTGGGAGGCGAGGTGGGTTCTTTGGTGACACACAGGCTGAGAGATGAGCTACGTGGGTGTGAGAGTGGCAGGCCATGCCCCTGCAGCACGCGTGTACAGTGCAGATCTCGGAGCAGAGCGTCACTGTGTGGGTGAGACAGCTAGGTGTCGAGGTTGACGACGAGCAAGGGTAGGTAGAGGTGGGGTGCATGGCTGTGAGACTGGCAGTCGGTGTTATTGGCACATGCAACCACGCCAGAGCGTCACTGTGTGGGAGAGGCAGCTGCGTTTCTGGAATGTCTTGTGCTGGGGTGCATTACCTTGTGTCTCCAGCCCTTCCTTTCTGCCTCTCCCGTCAACCCCATTTCCCTCTCGCCCATGTTATTCCCATGTGTGTGTATAAATGCATGCATGTGTGTGTGGTCAACTCATCTCATCTGTATACATATGAATGCATAATCGCAGGGTTCTAAGACTCTCAGCAATCGAGTCATTGTTCGCAACCTGCCCTTCAAGGTGTGTGCGTTTTGAGGTGCCTCAGAATACACCCCAATGCTCGTTGTGCACGGTGGTGCTCTTCGTATTGTCTGTCGAGTGGCATTGGCATTGGCTCTGATTATGTCGTTGCACGTTGTTGGAAAACTTTGACGCGCCTCAAAATACGCCTGCCCTTCAAGGTGTGCGCGTTGTGCACGGTCTGTCGAGTGGCATTGGCATTGGCTTTGACCACGTTATAGCTCGTTGTTGGGAAACTCGTAACCATGCTTGCATGCCTCATAACTCGATTGATTGCTTGCTCCCTTATGGTTCACTCACTCACTTCGTATCTGGCTGACTTTTGAGTCGACTCAAAAGTCACTCACCTGGTTTCTGGCTGACCGCATGTTGCACTGCGAACGTGTTTTCGTTGCATGCTGAGTGAATGACGCAATGCCAGGTGGCGGAAGCTGATTTGAGGAAGGCCTTTGCTGTTGCGGGCTTTCCTTGGGCTGTGAAGATACCGCGTGGGGAGGACGGCAGGTGAGAGCTGGTGCAGGTGAGAGCTGGTGCAGGTGATGGGATAGCAGGTGGGTGGGTGGATGAGAGGCAGATGGGATTTGGTGCAATATGCCAATGTGAGAGGATCGCATGTGAGGCGAATGGGAAGTGAGTGAGTGGATGGGAGGCGGGTGAATGGGAGGTGAGCAGATGGGAGGTGGGTGGATAGTAGGTGGGTGCATCTGAGATATTTGATCTCACTCCCTGGGTTGCTCCCCCTCCTCTTTCTGTGTGCGTGGCAGGCCTCGAGGATTCGCTTTTGTCACATTCACTACAAAAAGCGATGCAGCAAAGGTGAAAGCCTGTCCTTTCCGTTTAATGCACAAGCTCACGCACAGACACACAGCAACCTGCCAGCCTGACAGCCCAGCGCAGGTAGTAGATCTATGAATCGCATATCTCGTATTGTATTTCCTTCCATGAGCCAATGCTTCTCCAGGCAAATCATTTGTAATTATTATCAAAGGTGAGTCTATTATGGCTGGTTTCAAATCCCTGCAACTTTCCCTTCTTTAAGGTGTTTTGACTTAACTCATCTTCCCACCTCAGCTGCAATCAAATATTGAGCCTGACAGACAGCCGAACCTGTCTTATCCAAACCAACACCTCAGCTGACAGCTGAACCAAACTGTTAGCGGCACGACCATCGTGACCGGGCCGTGTCGGTGTGACAGCTGAATGTGTGGGAAAGGCCATTTGGATTTTCAAACGGTCAACGGTGCATGGGATGGTCAAACTCAACGTCTCTCTGTCTCCCGTCCTATCCTCCTTTCTTCTGGCAGGCTATTGAAAAGGTCAATGGCACGACCATCAACGGCCGGGCCATTTCGGTGGGATGGGCGGTGGCAAAGAGGGAGCATGTGGAGAGTGTGGAAAAGGAGAAAGCGAAGGAGAACAGAGGTGTGAAGAAATTGTTTATGACTAATAGAGTAGAGTGTCTCTATGTGTGTATTTGTGGCATGAGTGAGTGGCAAAGAGGGAGCACGTGGAGGGAGTGGAAAAGAATTAGCATAGGAGAATAGAGGTGAGGTTTGTGTATGCGTGTGCATGTATGCTTATGTGTGTGCGTCGGTTGCTTGGGTGGTGGCAGAGAGGGAACACGTGGAGAGTGTGTGGAGGGAGGAAGCGAAAGAGGATAGGAGTTTGTGTTTGTGTGTGTGTGTGTGTGTGTGTGTTTGTGTGTGTGTGTGTGTGTGTGTGTGTGTGTGTGAGTGTGTGTGTGTGTGTTTGTGTGCGTGCGTGTGGGTTGTTCGTGTGTGCGTGTGCGTGCATGCGTGTGTGCATGTATGCATGTGTGCATGTGTGCATGTGTTCGTGTGGGAAATCGAGTGAGAAGGAGAATAGAGGTGGGTTTGTTTGTGTATATATAAATGAAGAGCATGTATCGGTGGGTGGGCAGTGGCAAATAGCAGATGGAGAGGTCCCTGTGTGTGTGTCACTCATGCCTGCTGCTTTTCCGTTCCTCTTGCATCTTTTTGAAGCAGATGGGTTGTCGATGCTGCTTGACAATGAGGATGAGGAGATGAACATATTCTGATCACCGTTTTCCTGTGCTTCTGCTTGTCTATCTTTGCCCGTTTCTACTCTCGTTTCCCCAATCAGATGGGCTGTCAATGCTGTTCGATGATGACGATGAGGAAATGGATGAGGGAGGGGGGGGTCAAGAAGAGGAAGAAGATGAGGATGTGGAAGAGGAAGATGCTGAGGAAGAGGAGGAGGAGGAAATGGAAGAAGAGGAAGAGGAGGATGCGGAGAGGGAAGCAAGGGTGAATGGACTTTTAGATATGGAAGCAGAGGAGGATGACGAGGAAGAGGATGATGAAAATGAAGAGGAGGAAGAGGAGGAAGAAGGGAGTGAGGAGGAAGAGGAGGAGGATGAGAGTGAGGAGGGAGAGGAAGAGGAGGACGAGGAGGGGGAAGAGGAAGAAGAGGAAGAAGAGGAGGAGGAGGATGAAACATCAGATGAGGACGATGAGGAGGAGGAAGAGGTAGATTGGGAGATGGAGATGGGTGGTGGTGGCAGCAGTGGTGCTGTGCAAGGGAGTGAGAAGGATATGATGCTACGGGTGCTATCCCGAGTGGTTGAGCAGGGGAAGGGGGAGGAGGGGAAGGAGGGCGCAGGGGAAGAAGTAGTAGGGTGGAAAGCAAAAGGTGTGGTTGTGAAAGGTGGGAAGGAAGGAGATGCAGGAAAGAAGGGGAAGGAAGGGAAGGGCGGGAAGGAGGGAAAGGCTCCGGAGGGAAAGATGGGTGCCGAGGAGGGTAAGGGAGCAGCAGCAGGGAAGAAGACAGGCTCTGGTGATGGCAAGGAGGAAGGGACGGGTGCGGAGGAAGAGGAGGTGATGGAAGGGAAAGATGGGAAAGGAGGGAAGGATGGGAAGGGCGAGGAGGCAGAGGCACCGCCATCAACGGTGTTTGTGAGGAACCTGCCAGTGGATGCTTCAGCTGACCGCATTCGAGCAGCGTTTGAACGGTTTGGGAAGGTGGCTGACTGCAGAGTCGTGCTGCACCCGGTTACCAGGTGGGTGCTGCACCATGTGTAGTGTATTACTGTCTATGTTGCATCTTTGTGTGACTGTGTGACTGCCGGGCACGCGTGTTCGGCAAGGTGGCTGACTGCAGAGTCGTGCTGCACCCGGTTACCAGGTGGGTGCTGCACCATGTGTAGTGTATTACTGTCTATGTTGCATCTTTGTGTGACTGTGTGACTGCCGGGCACGCGTGTTCGGCAAGGTGGCTGACTGCAGAGTCGTGCTGCACCCTGTTACCAGGTAGGTTAACCCGGTTACCAGGTGCGTTATTTGTTCCAAGACATGCCATGTGCTGCAATGTCTTATCAGCTGTGCTGCATATCTGTGTGAGTGTGTGGTGTGACTGCTGGACGCACTTGTTTGGGAAGGTGGCTGACTGCTGACTGCTGCCGTGTGGTGCTGCACCCTGTCACCAGGTGAGCGGCTGTGACTGTTCGAGGTGAGCGGCTGTGACTGTTCGAGGTGAGCGGCTGTGACTGTTCGAGGTGTGTTGCAATCTACGCAATGTTACCCGGTTACCAGGTGGGAGTTCTCAGAAACAGCATGGGTGCATTCATCTCACTCTCCACCCCATTGCAAACCACCACACCACCTGCTGAATCCCCCTAGGCGTCCCCGAGGCTCGGCATTCGTCCGGTTCGAAACGCCCGAAGCAGCGCAAGCTGCCGTGGCAGGCTCGGTCCGAGCCGCCAAGGCCAGGGCCGAGGCTGGCGGAGAGGTTCGGAAGGGAGGTGTGGTGGAGGAGGGGGTGGTAGTGGTGGGGGGCCAACAGGCCCTTGTGACTCTGGCAGTGCGACGGGAGGAGGTCTCGAAGGTGGTTGAGAAGAGGAAGCAAGCAGAGCAAACAGGCAAAGGGAGAGAGGAGGACAGACGGAACCTTCACCTGCTGGAGGTGTGTAGAGAGGATGGTGGTAGTGGGGGCCCAGCAGGTGTGTAGAGGGGTGCTGGGCTGTAGAGGGCGGTGTGCAGTGAATTCTATTTAAGGTGAGCTGGTGGTGGTGGGGTGGGGGGACAGCAGGCCCTTGTGACTCTGGCAGTGCGACGGGAGGAGGTGGCTAAGGTGGTGGAGAAGAGGAAGCAAGCAGAGCAGACAGGCAAGGGGAGAGAGGATGACAGGCGGAACCTTCACCTGCTGGAGGTGTGTAGAGGGGTACAGTGTGGTAAGCTTTGTAGTAAGCTTCAGGAGGTACAGAGGAGAACACACAGCTGGATTTGACCACCTGGTTTGGTTGTCTCATGTGACACAGCTGAATAAAATATACAGCAGTCCTCTACCTATGCTATGCGTACATTGTCCTCCTTTCCTCCCTTCCTTGCAACGTTGCTTCATCTTATCCCTTCTTGCTTCTCCCTCGCATGGGGTTCTGTGCTGCTGCATTGGTTGCATTGCATTGCATCACATGCTGTGTATCTGCTTGATTTTGCATGACATGGTATGGCATGGGCTGTGTAGCATAACACAAATCATGTAACACGGCATCGTATGGTATGGGATGATATGCAACTGTATTGATGGCATGGCATGGCATGGCATGGCGTTGCATCACATGCTGTGTGCCTGCCTCATACACCATGGCATCGCATGGCATGGCTTGCATTACAGGAGGGGGTGATCAAGGAGGGCACAAGAGCAGCGGAGGGAATGCCAGCAGCAGACATGGAGAAGCGGAAGAGGTGGGTTCAAGAAGTGAATGGGTTGAACGAACACTTACAATCATAAGCAGCAGACATGGAGAAGAGGAAGAGGTGCGTTGGGGAAAGAGGTGGGTTGGGGAAAGAGGTGGGTTGGGGAAAGAGGTGGGTTGGGGAGAATGGGTTGGGGAAAGAGGGGGGTTGGGGAAAGAGGCGGGTTGGGGAAAGGGGTGGTTGGGGAAGGGGGGGGTTGGGGAAAGAGGTGGGTTAGGGGAAGAGGTGCGTTGGGAAAAGAGGTGGGTTGGGGAAAGGGGGTGGTTGGGGAAAGGGGGGGTTGGGGAAAGGGGGGGGGGTTGGGGAAAGAGGTGGGTTGGGGAAAGAGGTGCGTTGGGGAAAGAGGTGGATTGGGGAAAGAGGTGGATTGGGGAAAGACGTGGATTGGGGAAAGAGGTGGGTTGGATGAAAACTGATGTGGTGCCTGCAGATAGATGTCCTGCCCTTCTAGCTGTTTTCATGTTATCTTGTTGCTTCCTAGCTCAAACTGTGCAGTCGCACTCGCTGACGTATCTTGACATGACTCAACAGTCCCTTTGTGCTCCGATTCCATCCCTCTCTATTTCAGGCTGTGAGAAGCTGATGAAGCTGCGGAGCCCCAACTTTGCTGTGTCGCTGACGCGCCTGGCAGAAATAATGTGAATCCCTTGTCATACCTAGCAGTTGCATCTTCACCTGCCCGTTTCCACCTACCTGTTTCAGGCTGCAACGTGAGAAGCTAATGAAACTGCGGAGCCCCAACTTCGCTGTATCGTTGACCCGCCTGGCGGTGCACAATGTGCCGCGGGAGATGGATGAGAAGCAGCTCAAGCTGAGAGGCTTCTCAAATCCCCACACACACGTACATCCCCACATGCCTCCCTACATGCCTCCCCACACATAGATCCCCACACATGCATCCCCACACATGCATCCCCACATGCCTCCCCACATGCCTCCCCCAGGCTGCAACGTGAGAAGCTGATGAAGCTAAGGAGCCCAAACTTTGCTGTGTCGCTGACGCGCCTGGCGGTGCACAACGTGCCGCGGGAGATGGACGAGAAGCAGCTGAAGCAGGTGTTTGTGGAGGCTGTGAAGGCTCGAGCCAAGAAGCAGAAGCCACATGTGAAGCAGGTGAGTGAGAGGGCGAAGTGATGCTAGGGGAATGAGATGAGATGATCAGGATGGGGGATTGGGGGATGGAGCTGAAGCGGGTGTTTGTGGATGCTGTGAGGGCGAGAGCCAAGAAGCAGAAGCCGCACGTGAAGCAGGTGAGGGTGATGGGCGCATGGAGAGTTGGTTGGTTGGTTGGTTGGTTGGTTGGTTGGTTGGTTGGTTGGTTGGTTGGTTGGTTGGTTGGTTGGTTGGTTGGTTGGTTGGTTGGTTGGTTGGTTGGTTGGTTGGTTGGTTGGTTGGTTGGTTGGTTGGTTGGTTGGTTGGTTGGTTGGTTGGTTGGTTGGTTGGTTGGTTGGTTGGTTGGTTGGTTGGTTGGTTGGTTGGTTGGTTGGTTGGTTGGTTGGTTGGTTGGTTGGTTGGTTGGTTGGTTGGTTGGTTGGTTGGTTGGTTGGTTGGTTGGTTGGTTGGTTGGTTGGTTGGTTGGTTGGTTGGTTGGTTGGTTGGTTGGTTGGTTGGTTGGTTGGTTGGTTGGTTGGTTGGTTGGTTGGTTGGTTGGTTGGTTGGTTGGTTGGTTGGTTGGTTGGTTGGTTGGTTGGTTGGTTGGTTGGTTGGTTGGTTGGTTGGTTGGTTGGTTGGTTGGTTGGTTGGTTGGTTGGTTGGTTGGTTGGTTGGTTGGTTAGTTGGTTAGGGCACATGTGAAGCAGGTGAGAGGGTGAAGCGATGCTAGCGGATTGAGGTGAGATGATGGGTATGGGAGAGGAAGAGAAGCAGCTCAAGCAGGTGTTTGTGGATGCTGTCAAGGCGAGAGCCAAGAAGCAGAAACCGCATGTGAAGCAGGTGAGTGAGAGGGCGAAGTGATGCTAGGGGGATGAGATGAGATGATAGGGATGGGAGAGGGAGGGTAGCAGCTGAAACAGGTGATTGTGAATGCTGTTAGCGCGCGGTTCAAGACGCAGAAGCCACACGTGAAGCAGGTTAGGAATGTGCATGCTGCTGACTCACCTGATGATGCATGCACACTTTGCCTCATGAAAGGCAAACATGCGCTGGTTATGAGATGGCAATGAAATAGCAATGAGTTGTTCCCAACGCTGCGGCGTTTAATTTTTCTTTCACTTCTTCCAACCAGTTTGTAATTTCATTATCCTCTCATTTCTGCAGGTGAAGGTGCTGAGGGAAACAAATCGAGTGGGGCCAGACAGCAAGCCACGGTTCAAGGGAGCAGCACTTGACCACCTTCTCCACTTCTGATTGCACTAATTTCATCATCCTATCATTTCTGCAGGTGAAGGTGCTGAGGGGGATGGACCGGGTGGGCCCAGACGGCAACCCGTGGTCCAATGGAGTGATGTTTTATTTGCACTCCTTCCGATCCAACCAAATTGCACCCTTCTCTTTCATCATCCTATCATTTCTGCAGGTGAAGGTGCTGAGGGGGATGGACCGGGTGGGCCCAGACGGCAACCCGTGGTCCAATGGAGTGATGTTTTATTTGCACTCCTTCCGATCCAACCAAATTGCACCCTTCTCTTTCATCATCCTCTCATTTCTGCAGGTGAAGGTGCTGAGGGAAACAGATCGGGTGGGGCCAGATGGCAAGCCGCGGTCAAAGGGAGCGGCGTTCATTGAGTTCAGTGAGCATCAGCACGCTGTTGCGGCTCTGAGGGCTCTCAACAACCACCCCAGTGAGTGCAGTGCGGTGCAGTGTGGTGAAGTACTGTGCAGTATGATGATGTGTGATGCTGTACTGTTCTTGAGACAGAGGCAAAGGGAGCGGCGTTCATTGAGTTCAGTGAGCATCAGCACGCGGTGGCGGCACCGAGGCCGCTCAACAACCACCCCAGTGAGTGCTGTGCGGTGCAGTGTGATGCAGCATGGCGAAGCACTGTGCAGCACGGTGCTGTGCTGTTCTTGGGACGGCAGGCAAAGGGCGCAGCGTTCGTTGAGTTACGCTGTTGCGGCTCTGAGGGCGCTCAACAACCACCCGAGTGAGTGCAGTGCGGTGCACTATGGTGGAACACTGTGCAGTGCGGTGCGGTGTGGTGAAATACTGTGCTGAGTGCGGTGCTGTGCTGTTCATGAGTCAGCAGGCAAAGGGAGCAGCATTCATTGAGTTCAGCGAGCATCAGCACGCTGTGGCGGCACTGAGGGCTCTCAACAACCACAACAGTGAGTGCAATGTGGTGTTGTGCTACGGTACGGTGCAGTGCGGTGCAGTGCTGTGCTGTTCTTGAGACAGCAGGCAAAGGGAGCGGCGTTCATTGAGTTCAGTGCGCATCAGCACGCTGTGACGGCACTGAGGGCGCTCAACAACCATCCCAGTGAGTGCTGCGCTGTGCTGTGTGTTGCTCTTCTTCTGTGTGGTGCTTGCAGCAACTGCTTCTATCCCTGCTTTTCCTTCCGAATCAGTTGCGTGTGAACGGACGTTCCTCTCTTGCTCGTGCTCTTTTATCCCCCATCACTCGTGTGCGCTTTTTCCTGTGCTTTTCCCTTACATCCGTTCTCTTCGCAACCATTCTCTCTTGTGATTGCAGCCTTCCTATCCCCAACTTCCATGCTCCTCCATTTATTCCCCATGACCCCCCTCTTTAAGACCCTCTACTCCCGTGACGAGCTCGCCCATAGTAGAGTTTGCGATCGAGAATGTGGCCAAGTGAAGCAGAGGCAGCACACTTCCATACCGCTCCTTTATTTCTGTGCCTCCCTCCCTCATCCATACCTCTCCATATTTCTGTGCCTCCCTTCCTCATCCATACCTCTCCTTATTTCTGTGCCTCCCTTCCTCCATGCCTCTCCATTGCATTCCTTGCAGCGATTTTCTCGCGCGACGCTCGGCCCATAGTGGAGTTTGCAATCGAAAATGTATCGATAGTGAAGCAGAGGCAGCACAAGTCCATACCTTTCCACTGCATCCATGCCTCTCCCTTACGTCTGTGTTCACCTTCTTTACTCATGACCCTCCCTTGCAGCCATTTTCTCCCGCGATGCTCGTCCCATAGTGGAGTTTGCGATCGAGAATGTCTCGATAGTGAAGCAGAGGCAGCACACGGTGCAGCAGCAGAGCGACAGGCGGCAGGCAATGCGGCAGCAGCAGAGGCAGCAGCAGAAGCAGGAGAAGAAGCAGCAGTTGCAGCAGAAGCAAGAAGCTGGGGCCGCTGGTTTGGGCAAGGCAAGGGGTGCAAAGAGAAAGCCTGAGGAGGGCGAGGCACTTGCTGTTGCTGACGCTGAGGGCTCTCAAGCAAAGAAGAAGCAGAAGCAGGTGAAGGGAGGGAAGGGGCAAGGTCAGCAAGACAAGCAAGCGAGCCACGTGAAGGGACCTGGGAAGGGCGTGAAGGGGCATGTAGTTGCACAGGTGCAAGCAGGCGCTGCAGAAGGGCAGCAGAGGTTTGGTGTGAAGGCAGCAAGTGGAACAGAACGGGGAGGGGCGAGCGGCAGTGGGAAAGGCGGGCTAAAGAGGAAGCACAAGGGTGCAGCAGGGAACGCTGGTGTGTCTCCTGCTGCTGCAGTGAAATCTGCTGCTGCTTCTCCTTCGGCTGCTATGAAGGCTGCTGCTGGTGCTGTGAGTCCCGGTGCTAAAAAGGCAAAGACAGACCCAAGGAGGGTAGCAGCAGCAGTGGCAATGAAAGCCGTTGCTGAATCTCCTGCTTCCGGTTCTAAAAAGCAAAAGACAGAAGGAAGAAGAGGAGAAGCAGCGGCTGCAGTGATGGAGGCTAGGCGGGCGCAAGCAGCACTGGCTGGGCTGGGGAGTGGAGGCGGGCGTGGAGAGAAGGGCAAGGCGAGGAGCAAGAAGGGGTCGGAGCACCAAGAGTTGGTGGATGAACTTGATAGGCTCGTGGCGGCTTACAGAGCAAAGAACTATGGATGAGAGTGAGTTTGAGGGGGGGGAGTGAAAGGGAAAGGGCAAGGGGCAGAGCAAGAAGCTGTTGGAGCATCAACCGTTGAGGGATGAACTTGATAGGCTCGTGGCGGCTTACAGGGCGAAGAACTACGGGTGAGAGAGGGAGTGCGAGGGCGGGAGTGCGAGGGAGAGGGGCAAGGGGCAGAACAAGAAGGGGTCGGAGCATCAGGAATTGGTGGATGAACTTGATAGGCTCGTAGCGGCTTACAGAGCAAAGAGCTATGGGTGAAGGGAGGGATTGCGAGGGCAGGAGTGCGAGGGAGAGGGCAAGGGGCAGAGCAAGAAGTCTTTGGGGCACCAGGAGTTGGTGATGAGCTTGATAGGCTTGTGGAGGCGTACAAAGCGAAGAACTATGGATGAGAGAGTGAGAATAAGGGAGCCTGATCGTCAAGAGCTGGTGGGATGGGGTCTGTTTGTGAGTCTTTGCAGGTGATGAATTCTGAAGTTACAGTCAAGGGGAGTAGAATTTGAAGAGGTGAAGTGCAAGAAGGGTTTGAACGCATGGCAGTGGCTGACGGTATCGTATGTTACCACTATTGTTGAATGTTGCTGCTGGCTGAACGAGTGGCTGTTGTTTGCCTTTCTATCAATCTTTCGTCAGAGCATGCCCGTCGCCCGATTTTTTCCGTGGATGGAGTACATTTTGATGAAGTCTATAGGTGTAAAAAAGGGAATTTCTAATAAAACCCTGTCCTGTGCATATTCCATGTCGAACTCATAATAAAATGTACGTGTATGATCATAGTGACCAGTCACTTTGCAACATCGGAGGCGTGTTTGAGGTGGCGTTGTGTTGGCACCTGGAGGGACGTGACTGGTCTGCCACTTGGAATGCATCTGAGGGTGTCAACTTTTGTCTCTTTGTGCGTTCTGCTTCTGGGTCAATACAACAGTAATTCTGTTTTCGGGGCATACAGAACAATGCCCGTCCTTGACTAGCAAAGGTACGGAATGTGTTACCAGAACCCAGAATATCGCAAGGGTAATAGCTCTGGAAGCCTGACTGGATCCGGGCACGGGGATTAGGGCGTGGGCCCAAACGGGTTTGATCGCCTCGATCAGCCGCGATCAATAATTTCCAGGAAGCCTGGAGGCCAAAATCAGGCAATCAGGGGCAATCAGCTGATCGCGATCAGCTGATCGCCCAGCCTCGATCAGACCCGATTTGAACCCCGATCAGAGTCGATTTTCCTCGATCACAGGCAATCAATTGATTGCTTGTGATCGGGGTACCCAGCGATGCTTGCGAGTAGTTACACTGTTGCAACAGTGGAACAAAAATTTTCGCCAGGTGAAGCCTGGTCGTCAATCTCGCTAAAATGGTGACGAAAATGCCACGCAAATGTGTCACGCTTGCTGAGCAGGCGCTGACAACCTTCTTCGAAAAACAACACTGATCGGGCGGCTCGGGCATTGCGATCACAAACAGCCCGATCAGATCCGCCCCGATCAGATTAGTCGCGATCAAACCCGTTTGGGCCCACGCCCTTAGCTTTGAAGGGTCGAGAATAACAGAAGGCCTCAGAGACTCTCTCCACACCCACCTTCTTCCAGGAAGTTCCTTCCACTCCAGTTATCGGGAATTTGTAAACTTGCAAGTGCAGGATTATGATGAGTGGGACGCAGTGCCCCTGCACACTCTGTTAGCAATCAGAATGTCCTTTGGTCCAAAAAACTCGAAGTTCCAGCACTTTGAGGAGAGGATGGTGAAATAGCTCAGGTTTTGAATTTATAGCCCTGATATCTCGAGCGGTTTTCTGGCGGACCCAGCTTTTTCCAGAACGGTTTTTCAAGAGAGTCCGTTACGTCCGAGCTGGCGAAAACCCCAACTTCGCCCCTGGTTCGCATGTACGGAATGCAGCTCGCACAGTTGCATCCAGCCTCCAGCGCTGGAAATCTGCTGTGATATTTTATTCCCTCTTTCATCGTTGGACTCCAGCTATCGTTAGGAGTTTCCTCGTTAGGAGTTTAGGTGCTCACGACACCTCTTACTGGTGTTACTACTGTTCAGATAAACACCCAACCACAAGCCCACCAATTCCATCTCGTCTTCTTAGTAATGCTGGAGCTGATCATATCTGCAGATTAATCCACGTCAGATCTGCCAGATTGTCGTTTTTGCCTTCTCTAATCCAAGACGGCAAAGGCGCGCCACATCATCCATAGCGTGACGTAATCGAAGAAAGTCAACTCTTTAGCACCCGCGGATATGGGCGGGCGGCGGGATGGGCGGGCGGCGGAAGGGCGGACTCCGCCCTAAAGGGAAGTGCGAAAAAAAACCTAAAAGTTATTGTTTCGTAAATTTCCAGTTGCATTTCCCGCGCAAGAAAAAAGTTTGACTCGACAACAGTGGTAGCCTCAATAACTTGCGAAGTGACTTTCCCGTCACATTCCCAACACAAACTGTACACTTCGGTGCAGTTGTGAGGTATACGGTAATGCAACTATGGAGGTGGAAAACGTCACTCTTGGGCAACCCATGCGAAAGTGTCACGACAACGCCACGTGGCATACGATGTACGCCAGATGAAACTGAAACATGTTGACGTGGCAGTTCCTGTAAGCTACCTACAACCGTTGGATCCTGACAATATCAACGCTCTTAATTGTGCCACGTGGACCAATCGAGCACGAAATGGGGTGCGCGGTTTCGAATTTCATTGACTGGCGATTTCATGGTTCCGGTTGACGAATCTCCTATATTGGTGTGCGTTTTTGGTAAAAAATAAATAATTTTACTGTAACAAGTTCATCTGACAGGGCATACAAATTATACCAGTATAAGAACGTACAATGTACCCATAATACACTACGCATAATCCATAGCTAAGAAGCCCTGCACACCCTGCCAGGCAGAAAACGAATGTAACCTCGAAGAACGAAGGAAATAGAAACCTCATAACCAAGCAAAACTATATGCTCACCTATGGAGTTCTTACGACTGGAGTATGCAACCCTGCTGAAATATAAAAATACTGCACAAATGGTTCACGGTAAACCTGCAAAACCAGGCACGCTCTGCAACACATGCAAACACAGCGTGCTGTTACGTATCGCGCTGACATTGCTTCAGATGGGTTAGTAATAGCAAATTTTGCTTGACACAAGAATACATACCCTTAGGACAGTCAATCGCAGCGGGACTAAACACCACGATTGCAGCAGACTTAGCTGTCCAGAATAAGCGTGATAAAGGAACGAGCTGGAAACGAGGCATACGAGAAGTTAACGTGAAATGGGGCTGCACAGAGGAGCAATGCGTTAAACCGAAGCGACACGGTAACTGGAAACGGCGAAACGGCGAGCAAGACATATACAGTTATATGTCGCACTAGGAAAAACGTGTACATAAACAAATAGAAACTGCACAATAAAATAAAATAAAGACAGCTTCACGTGCAAGATCAGAACTGTGAACGTACCTGGCGTGTTGCGCAACAATGGCCTTCCTTTGCGCGACTCTCATGTACCCCAGCAGCGCGACGTCAATAGTTGGCCGGAGCTGCCGCCTGAAAAGGGGAGGGATGTGAAAAACGGACAGACATGCGTATGGACGATTGAAAAAAAAAAAAATAGAATTAACGATACTATGTTCGCGCAAGGCAACATAGTCTCGACGTTCTCACACAGTCTGGCTGTGGGATTGAAGGAACTCGGAGTTAAGAAGGGTTGGACGAGGAGTGCGGAGATTACGAAAAGAGTGTGCAGAAGTTGAAGAGACTTGCAGTCCGAAATGTGTGTTCTGTGGGCGTAGGTGATAATAAGTGCGTGAATGCTGGGAATCTGCGTGGTCTGCAACGGGGTGGACGGAACAACTGTATGAGGTGGGCGTTTGATTTGGTTTGGATAGGCTGGGCGTGCTGACGTGTTCAAGATGGCATGTGTTGTTTGACAGTGATTGGTTATAAATGATATTTGGGCTCACACGTCACACCCCTGAAGAACCATCTAGCGTCCGTGGCTTTGTTTGGGTGGTTGGAGTTCAGATCTGAGAAAAAAACGAAAACAATGTATCCAGTTCTGCAACCTCGCTGGATTTCGTGAAGATTCGTGGGGTCGGTTTGTTTCGTAAATTGTGTGGTTACATCCCACTGTCATTTGTTACTCTGCATTACCGCTTGCAAACTCTCTCGAACGCGCAAAACCGATTGACGCGAAACTGTTGACGGGAATGCAACTTTCGGGTGACGGTTTTGTGTCCGTGAAAACATCCGGTACTGGTGTACGGAATGTCGCGTTTCGCGTGCGTTGTTTTTTGGACGCTTCGCGCAACACAGACGCAGGCTTTTCGTAGAAAAACCTTCGGACCCCCAAATTCGACATTTTCCTTTTCCGCGATGGAGTTTCTTCCGCATCATCCGGCAGGGGGAACTGGGCAGGAAGTATTTCAGCGGGCGGCCATCAGTCAGCAAATCATTCCCTCATTCTCTCGCAATGCACTACCTCTTTTGGCTGCGGCTTTAGTAATTATCTGAGGCTTCTCGGATTGCTCATCTTGGTGCTCACCGTAATTGTCATCGTTACTACTTTCATCGTTCAAAAAAACTGCCGGGACTCGGAGATCAGCTATGGCTGCAAACGAACTGCGACTCTCTGGCCTTGTTGCTGCCGCACTTGCTGCTCTTATGCTCTCAAGTACTCACATTTGCGAACACTTCTTTGTCTGCTCTTTTTTATATATATATATATATATATTTTTTTTTCACGTTTTAGGGTTTGTGTGTTCACTTTGATGTTGTTGTCTGCAGATTACTGCATATGATACTTTGCACATGATGGCTTCTCATCGCTCTCTGCATCTCACCGGCCGCTCTCACGTATCCTGACCTTCTCCTCAATCCCCCACACTGTTTCTCCCAGCCTGTGCGCCCAGGGTTGCTGTTGCCATTCGCCTGCCATCTACTACCAGCCCACCGTGCGCAGTGGGTTTTTTGAAGGACGCACAAGGCAACTGTGTTGGTGAGTGCTAAGCAACATCATATGCCCACAACAGCCTCATTGGTACATTCACTTCACGTTACAGCTTCAACCGACATATGCTCTGACTGTGCTCTAAGCAGTTTTCCTACCAGCATGGCCGTTTCAGCTCCCTATGTGCTTACGACCCCACATGCCTGTGTCTGACCCCCACGTGACTGAGTGCAGACTCGTGCACGGTGCGCAACTGCGGCACCAACGCGAGGTGCCTGAAGAGCCAGGCGGGCTGGGCGGACTGCGTGTGTGACAGGGGCTTCAAGCTGCTGCCCGATGCGTCCTGCGCTCGTGAGTGGCTCCACCCAACCTTTTTTTTGTTGAACTTCAAGTTGCTTCCCATATCCGCTGCTGCTCAAATTGTCTCTCGTTCAAGCCTTTTCGGTCGAATCCAGGCTTGTCGGAATGCTGTGGGCATTCCAACATTGCCTCTACTTTTTGTGCCTTTTATTTTAATTCATGATTCTTATTTACTTATTTTTATCTCCCCCCTGCGTACTCTGGTGCCCGCCCTTTCGTGCTGTAAACCTGGCAGAGCTGTGTACGGCTGAGGATTGTGGGGAGAACGGGTACTGTGAGGAGGACCAAGGAGGACTCTCCTCCTGCCATTGCAACACCGGCTTCGAAAAGACTGCGGACGGCTGTGTTGGTGAGTGCTGCTTATCCGTGCTGTTACTGATTTAATTCAGGGTGTTGGATGCTAATGTTTGATTTGATCCTGATGGCACTTCTAGATTCTAAAGTTTGCTGTCTCCTTTGACTCTTCCCCTTCCAGATACGTGTGTGCTCCAGGCGTGTGGTGAAAACGGCCAGTGCGTGAAGGATGAGCAGGGGGTGGCGTCCTGTGTGTGTGACCCATACTTTGGGCTCGAGGCGGACGGCGAGACATGCACAGATAGCCATTTGCTGTGTGGTGCTGCTCATGTGCTGTGTGCTGCTGCTGATGCAATGTGCATGTGCTGCGGTTAGGTATGATTCCCTTCGCATTCACTGCTGTTACTGCTGTTTTTTTTTGTTCCCGTCGCTCCTTCCTCTCCTGGCAGACACCTGTGTGCTTCTTGAGTGTGGGGAGAACGGCCAGTGCGTGCAGGACGAGAATGGGGTGGCGTCCTGTTTGTGGCATCACCGTTTTTATTATTCTCTCCCGTTACTTCTCCCTTCCCTGGCAGACACATGTGTGCTCCTCGAGTGTGGGGAGAACGGCCAGTGCGTGCAGGACGAGAATGGGGTGGCGTCCTGTGTTTGTGATCCTGGCTTCACGCTGCGGGATGATGGAAAGTCGTGCCATGGTATGTTGCTGTTTGCTTTTATGCTCTAACCTTTGCTCTGTCATTGCCTTTCAACACTGAATAACTTTCTGTCATCCTTTCACCTTCATCTCATCGTTTTACACTCCCAACTAATCCCCACCTTCCATCGTTTCTCGCAGACAACTCGCCCAACGGGCCACCTGATTTTGTTGACCTGCCACCTGCTGCTATCAACCGTTCCCCGCCCCCCATCGTTTTAACACTCCCACTATTCCCTGCCTCCCATCGTGTTTCGCAGACAATTCGCCCAACGGGCCACCTGATTTTGTTGACCTGCCACCTGCTGCTCTCAACCGCCCCTGCCCAGCGGGAGAAGAGAGGGACGCAGACGGCAACTGCGTTGGTAGGTGCTGCTGGAATGAGTGAATGCAACATTTGTTGTTACATCTTCTAGAATTGCTCCACTGCTGTCTTGTGACTGCTGCATGCTGTGTTTCATCTTCTAGATGTGGTGTTACGGTTTGGAATGGAAATATGACGATGTGCCTTGTTCTAACCCTACGTGCCTGTGTCTGTCCCCACATGCCTGTGTCTGTCCCCACATGCCTGTGTCTGTCCCCACATGCCTGTGTCTGCTCCCACGTGCCTGAGTGCAGATGTGTGCGTGGTACGCAACTGCGGCCCCAACGCCAACTGCCTCAAGTTTGAAGCAGGCTGGGCGAACTGTGTGTGCGAGAGGGGTCTGAGGCTGTCAGAATCCCAGCCACTAACCACTGGGATAAAAGGGCTTGTTTGTGTAGCGGGTGAGTGCGCCTATAACCCCCCAGGCCAACATGCCTGTAACCCTTCCCTAGGATCATCGGGGATCTCCAGTGGACCTCTGACACCCCCCCGCACTGGGATGCCCGAGGTGCACACACCGGGATTCGAACCCGAGACCTTCGCTCTGATACCATGTCAGAATCCCAGTCACTAACCACTGGGATAAAAGGGCTTGTTTGTGTAGCGGGTGAGTGCGCCCATAACCCCCCAGGCCAACATGCCTGTAACCCTTCCCTAGGATCATCGGGGATCTCCAGTGGACCTCTGACAGAGGCTCATGCCTAATGCGTCCTGCGCTCGTGAGCGGCTGTGCCCAATTCTCCCATCCTCGCTGATTCTGTTCTTAAGAGTCACGCCTGCGCCATTGTTGCCTCCTCGTTAAGAACTTAGTTGCAACCATAGCCCTCTTGGGTATGCATCCAGGCAGGGCGCTCCAATGGTTCCCAAAATGTTTTCCTCACTCTCCTTGTTGCTCCCCATTTCACATGTGTATTCTCTCATGCCATGAATCCAACAGACTCATGCTCGATAATGGACTGCGGGGAGAACACGTACTGTGAGAAGAAAGAGTCCCTCGCCGTCTGTCACTGCAACTGGGGCTACGCCATGACCGACAACGGCTGTGTTGGTCAGTGCCATGCAATGCATGAAGAATCTGTCTGTGGTTTCGTGCCGGACGATTCAATGCCATACAAGCTGAGAGGATGATGCGTTTTATGTGCTGCTGCTGCAGATGGATGGCATGGCATGGCCAGGTTATCATGACTGCGTGGTGTGATATAGTGCGCTTTCCATTCGCTGTTCCGTTTGCTTCTCTTTTCTTCTTTCATTCACTCTTTGGGCTTATTCTTTCCGTAGCTTCTTCCCCACGTGGCAGACACATGCATTCTGAAAGCGTGTAGCGCGCACGGTCACTGTGTCAAGGACGCGTTGGGGGCGTCGTCTTGTGTTTTGAGGCGCCTCAGGACGCGTTGGGGGCGGCGTCTTGTGTTTTGAGGCGCCTCAGGACGCGTTGGGGCCGGCGTCTTGTGTTTTGAGGCGCCTCAGGACGCGTTGGGGGCGGCGTCTTGTGTTTTGAGGCGCCTCAGGACGCGTTGGGGGCGGCGTCTTGTGTTTGTGACAGCGTGCAGCAATGGAGGGGCTACACGCTGCAGGATGATACCAGGACGTGCAAAGGTAAGGATGCTGTGTGTTGCTGTGTCTTGCTGTTTATTGCTGTGTGTTGCTGTGTGTTTATGTGTGCCTTCGTGTCCTTGTGTGTTGTGCTGCTCTCCGTTTCCTTCCGTGTGCCCCCCCCCTCTCCCTCCCTCTTAAACCTACCTCTCCCTCTACCACATTAACTCTCCCTCCCTCCACCTTTACCTTTCCCTCTCCCTCTATGTCCCGTCCCTCTCCCTTTGTCTCTGGTTCCACACAGTGCCCCACACTCAATGACGACCCCTTCCTCTCTCCTCCCCCCCCCTCTCTCCCTTTCCTCCCCCTCTTCTCTCCCAGATAATTGCCTTATTAAGGGGTGTGATGAATATACAGAGGATTGTTACAAAGATGTATATGGCACCGCACACTGCAAATGCAAACTAGGCTACACACCGCTCTATGGCGAATGCGTTGGTATGTAATGTTTCCTTCACCTTTTATAGAAACCTTCTTATCCTCCCCGCCCTCCCCCTCCTCCCCCCCCCCTCCATCCCTTTTTCCGCTCTCACTCTATCCTTTCTCCCTCTCGCTTTTCTCCCCTCTCTCATTTTTCCCCCAGGCAACGAGTTAGTTTTATACAGCTCCACTGTATTCCTCTGTTATTATCTTCTTATTACACATTGCACTCTGCTGTCCTATGTGCTTGTCTGCTGTTATCGGTTCAGGCCACAGTGCAGTTACACTGATTTTCTCCCCTTCTAATCTACCTGCTTTCATGTCAAGCTAAAATTTCCCACCTTTTCTCGACCCCATGCTCACCAGGACCTGCAACCTGCGGAAACTGTCCGAAACTCGCCTCATGCACTCTTGTCTCACTTACCAAAAAGGCTCCCTACTGCGTCTGTCCTACTGGCTATGGCATGACCAACCTTGGTTGCATCCGCGGTAAGACTATTACGTATGCATTCAAGGATGACCAATGATATTGAAGGAGCCTGACCAGCTGTGCTTGCATCACAAGTCAGTCACTGTTGTATATATCTTTGTCAAACCTCTTATCCCCCACCAAACCCTGTGCCCCGATTTTGTGTATCACCCAACAGACCCACATCGAGTGACATATTCTCCTTCATGTGTATGCGCTAATCATTGGAATTGTGGAGAATGAAGATTAGCAGTTCGAAATGATGCTCCTTTTGAAGACAGTTCGAATGAAGACCAGCAGCAGAATTGTTGAGTCTGCCGTTGACATGGTGCCTCTAGGCAAGCTTGATGCGGCCGTGCAAGGAGGGGCAATGGGCGTCAATGTACTGCCATGCGATTTGTCGTCTGCGTCTATATTGTTCTACCTCTCTTCGCCATCCTATTATCTCTAGGTTCTCCATTCTTCTCTCCCCTCCCTCATTTCCCATTCGATTAGCAACTGTGTGTGTGCATGCACATGCTCTTATCTTACGCGTATGTGCTTGTGTGTGTGTGTGTGTGTGTGTGCGTGCGTGCGTGCGTGCGTGCGTGCGTGCGTGCGTGCTTGTGTGTGAGTGTTTGTGTGTGAAAGGAGTGTGTGCACATGAACATGTGCTCGATAATGTTCTTCTCTTACTTATATAGTCATATTATGGTACCTACTGGTCGTCTTTGATGCTCAAACAAATAAAGCACCGAATCTGTGTGGGGAGACAAAGGGAACCTCTTTTCCTAGTTTTGGACAAAGCATGTTGAGAATTCCCATGTGTAAGGAATTTTTCATAATCCTTAGTGCGCGCGGCGCACTTCAACATGTATCTGGTTGGGTTGTTTCAAAGTCTTTGGTGAAGTGATGAAGTGATGCCTCTAGACGAGCTTGATGAGGCCAGGGGAGGAGGGAGCCATTGGCATCAGCGTACTGCCGTCAGATTTGCCATTTACCCGTCATACCCCGGATATACCCCCATGGGGGGCAATAATAAAATAGGTGGGGTGGGCTTATAATCGGGTAAATTTATAAGCGCCGGCGTTTATAAAACGACATATACAGTTTATACATTTTTTAACACCAAGCTGTAGATCTCTGGGTTGCATTTTCAATCGAGTCGAAGTTACATGGGGTCGTCTGTGAAATTCTCGCGCGCACTGGGAGATACACCAAATTTGACAGCTCCTGACAGCTCCTGACAGCTTCTGACAGCTTCTGACAGCTCCTGACAGCTCCTGCTGACTGGACCCGCATCCAGTGCAGGGTCCGAATGTGAAGGGAACCGAATCTGGAGACATCCGCCTGCTAAAGTAAAATTCGTTACTGGGTTCTGAACACATTTCAGGAATTAAAGTTTACGTGCGCTTATAATAAAACATGTTTTTTTCAGGGGGTGCGCTTATAATCTAGCAGCGGATATAAGCGCCATGCGCCAATTAAAAGCGCCAGGCGCTTATCCGAGGGTGGCGCTTATATCCGGGGTATGACGGTACGTCTAGTTTGTTCTACCGGCACCTGTCAATTACACCAGGATAGGCTAGGATCGACCAGAAGTACGGCGGAACGGTTTTTTCCTGAAAAGGGAAGGGTACGGTACAAGAAGGTAACCCTGGAATGAGTTGTACTCTATCCTATGTACCTCATTATAGCCTAATATATGTAACAAAGATATACTGGTAAATATTTTTTGACAGCCTGCACCTACCTATATCCGGCCCGGGGTTAAGCAGTAACCCAGCGCAACTGAGAGGTGGTTACAAGCGCAGTTTCTATTGCAAGCACTAGCAACAATCAGCAGAGCATGCTTTCAATAAGCTCACATGGAGTCTTCTACAAGTAGGTCTAGATCCATTGCACTTGGTTACGGTAAGCAACTAGAAATTAGCTGGTAACCCGATTAGTGTATGCCTGAGCCAGACACAAACAATTCGCCCTCCCTCAACACCCCAGCCTCCCCCACTGGAATCAAAATCAGAACCCGCCTCCATTCCCAACACTGGCTGCATCGGAAGCAGAGAAGGCGGCATCGCTGCGCATGTCGCTGTCCCCGTCGTACAGCCCTGACGCACCACCCGCGTCCATCTCCTTGATGCTGCCATTGTCCATTTGACTTTTGAGACGTCTCAAAGGTAATCAGAACCCGCCCCCATTCCCAACACTGGCAGTATCAGCAGCCGAGAAGGCAGCATCGCTGCGCATGTCGCTGTCCCTGTCGTACGGCCCTGACGCGCCGCCCGCATCCATCTCCTTGATGCTGCCGTTGTCCATGTGGCGCTCGATGGTTCGCCGACTCACCCCGCCCGCCTGCATGCGCATCATCGCCACAAACTCGTTGTAGTCCACCCGCCCCGCCTGTAGCCAACTCAGGCACACAGGCAGGCACACAGGCAGGCAGGCACACAGGCAGGCAGGCACACAGGCAGGCAGGCACACAGGCAGGCATACGGGCAGGCACACAGGCAGGCATACGGGCAGGCACACATACATGCGGGGTGGGGAGGGATGGTTGGACTTTTGAGGCACCTCAAGAGTCGCCTGCATGCGCATCATCGCGACAAACTCGTTGTAGTCCACCCGCCCGCCTGTTAATAGCTCCGACACACGCATAAGCACCCGCACACGCACATACATGCGGGGTGGGAAGGGATGGTTGGCCAAGGGGCCAGAGAGGCCCATGGGTGTGCAAGCAGCACAATGTCTCGCACCGCCTGCCTCCACTACTGTCCTGGCCACCCTCGCATGTAGAGGAGAGGAAGAGAGGGAACGTGATGTGGGTGAGGGGTGCGAAAGGAGAGGTGCGGAGGGAGGGGCTTGGGAGTTGGTAGGAGAGAATGGAGAAAAGGAGGCGACCGGATTCAGCGCAAGATAAGCTAAGCTTGCAGGCACCCGTCCAGTGACTTCCCTCTGACCCAGGATTGTAAGCACTGCTTAAACGCCGCCCCTGGTAGACCACGTCCTTACCCTTGCATCACCCGACCACCAGACCAACCCAAAGAAGAATGTCTAGATACACATCTACATCTGAGTGTTCGACGTGTGAGTGACTGAGTGCACACCTCCACCTGCATTACCTGTGTAAAGCAGAGTTCTTTTTTGCCACCCCCACCTCCCACACCATCTCACCTCATCGCGCATCACATCTGCCATCATCTCCTGCACCACAGCACAGTTCACGCGGTACTCACGTGAAGTGAGGGTGTTTTGGGGACGTGTCAAATACTCACCTCGTCGCGGTTGACCTCCGCCATCATCTCACCCTGTTCACTCCCGTCTCTCTCACCTGTGAGCACCCCCTTCGCTCGCCATCATCTCACCTCGTCTCGGTTGACCTCAGCCATCATCTCCTGCCCCACAGCGCGGTTCACGCGGTATTTCTCGCACGCGCGCTGCAGCTCTGCTTCACTGATGTACCCGCTGAGGTCCTGGTCGAACACGGAGAACGCCTGGAACAGGCTCTCCTGCTTCTCCACGCTGCACAGCTGTAGCAGCGCCACGAAAAAGTCTGCATAGTCAAACGCCACCTTGCTGTCCAGACAGATCTGATGGGCGGCACATGGGGAGGGCAGGGGCCGTGGGGGTGTCATGCAGTGCCTGCAACCATCACGCCATGGATGCTCACATGCATAGTCAAACGCCACCTTGCCGTCTAGGCAGATCTGCCGGGCGGCACAAGGGAAGGGCACATGGGGGCGGCAAGGGGGTGGTGGGGATGAAATGCGGCTGTAGCAGCGCCACAGAGAAGTCCGCATAGTCAAACGCCACCTTGCCGTCCAGACAAATCTGATGGGCACATTGGAGGGCAGGGGGGTGGTGGGGGTGTCAAGCAGCTGTAGCGGCGCCATCTTGCCGTCCAGACAGATCTGATGGGCACATTGGAGGGCAGGGGGGTGGTGGGGGTGTCAAGCAGCTGTAGCGGCGCCATCTTGACGTCCAGACAGATCTGATGGGCGCATTGGAGGGCAGGGGGGTGTTGGGGGTGTCAAGCAGCTGTAGCGGCGCCATCTTGCCGTCCAGACAGATCTGATGGGCACATGGGGCGAACACACATAGCATGCATCAGTGTAAAACGCCACCTTGCCGTCCAGACAGATATGCCGGGAGACGGAAGGCGAGGGGTGGTGGGGGTGGCATGACAGCGTTCAGCAGTGCAGGCGGCCGTCCCCCCTTTGGGTGGTTGCATTGCATGAATGGACTTGAAGCTTGGAAGTGACATGAACGTGAACGATGGAGAGAACAGCAGACATGGGCAAAAGACCAAGCCTGGGTCAATTTGAGACGTGCCAGTCCGGTTCAACTGGGCCGGTTCAACTGGGCTGTCCCACACCTGGGCAGGTGGATGGCCCATCGGCTGTGGTTGCATCAAGTGTTTGGCTCATCGCGTGTGCATTTCAGGGTAACAAAGTGAGGAGCAACAACCATTGGGTGGTTGGCGTTTCGTTCTGCCATAACCACTTACAAAAAGTTGCTCGTATAGGCCATGCGGGCAGCCCATGCGGGCTCACCTCAGGCATGATTCTCACACTGAACCACCGGTGCAAGCAACGCAGCCCCAACGCAGCCACTGGTCCAGGCAGGCCATTCAAGCATGCCATGCAGGCAGGGCTCACCTCATGGATGATGCTGGCGACGGCATCAGCAGGCCCATGGAAGCTGTGCGAGTGCAGCGCGTGGGGCAGCGCCTCGATGGGCACCACCCCGCTGGCGTTGGGGTCCAGGCGAGTTATGGGGCGTCTCAAACCATCCCACACTGACCTCATGGATGATGCTGGCGACGGCATCAGCGGGGTCGTGGAAGCCCCGCGAGTGCAGCGCGTGGGGCAGCTTTTGAGGCGCCTTAAATAATGCCCACCTCATGTATGATGCTGGCGACGGCATCAGCAGGCCCGGGCAGCGCCTCGATGGGCACCACCCCGCTGTTGGGGTCCAGACGAGTCAGGTCCCCCTGCACCACCCACCGGTGCAAGCAGCCCCGCACTGACCTCGTGGATAATGCTCACGACGGCATCAGCGGGCCCGTGGGTGGGTGGTTGGGGATATGCAGGCATTGCAGGCTGAGCTCACCTCGTGGATGATGCTCACCTCGTGGATGATGCTAGCGACAGCATCAGCGGGCCCGTGGAAGCCCATGAGTGCAGCGCGTGGGGCAGCACCTCGATGGGCACCACGCCGCTGGCGTTGGGGTCCAGGCGCGCCAGGTCCCCCTGCACCACGCGGATGTCCTCCTTCCCCATGCCCTCCACCATCGCCTGCCAGAAGGGGAGAGGGAGGGGGGGTGGCAGGGAACGCGGCAAAGAGAAGGGTCCGGGTGAGCCAAGTCCCCCTGCACCACCCGGTTGTCCTCCTCCCTCATGCACTCTACCATCGCCTGCCAGGTGGAGAGGGAGGGGGGGAGGGGGGGAGGGGGGGAGGGGGGGGGGGGGGGGAGAGAGAGATGGCAAGCAGGGAACGTGGCAGGGGGGAAATAATGGTCCAGGCGCGCCAGGTCCCCCTGCTCCACCTGGATGTCCTCCTCCCCCATGCCCTCCACCATCGCCTGCCGTGAGGGGTAGGAGTGCCAGGGGGGAGGAGCATAAGTGAAACAAACCACGTGTGCAACGGGCATTGCATTGCGAGTATGGGCTGCCTTGCTGGTCACAACAGGGCCCGGGCGCGGCAAGTCCTCTTGCACCACGCGGATGTCATCCTCCCCCATGCCCTCCACCATTGCCTGCCAGGGGGAGGGGAGGGAAGGGGGGGGGGGGGAAGGGAAAGGGAAGGGGGGGGGGGGGGGGGGGGGGGAGGCAGGGAACACGACAGGGAGGAAATAAGGGTCCGTGTGGGCTGCCTTGCTGTTCACAACAGGGTCCGGGAGAGCCAAGTCCCCTTGCACCACGCGGATGTCGTCCTCCCCCATGCCCTCCACCATCGCCTGCCAGAACGGGTGGGGGGTGGGGGGAGAGTTGGCAAGCAGGGAACGCGGCAGGGGGGAAATAATGACCCTTGCGAGCCAAGTCCCCCTGCACCACCCGGATGTCCTCCTCCCCCATGCTCTCCACCATCGCCTGCCAGGGGGAGGGGGGGTGGTGGTAGATAGGGAACGCGGCAGGGAGGAAATAAGGAGGCCCGGGCGAGCCGTCGAGGAGAGAACAGAGCGATGCTACAAAGAAGTGCGCGTGCACTGCCTTGCGTGTGGACTGCCTTGCTGGTCACAACAGGGCCCAGGCGAGCCAAGTCCCCTGCTGCGCGCATCCGTTTTCGGGGCGCCTCAAAGAGAGCCAGGCAGGCTGGGCGAACTGCGTGGGCGAGAGGGGCCTCAGGCTGATGCCCAACGCGTCCTGCTCTCGTGAGTGCCTTCACCCACCCTGCACCCTGTTTTCTGCTGCGCGCATCCGTTTTTGGGGCGCCTTGAAGAGAGCCTGGCAGGGTGGGCAAACTGCATGCACGAGAGGGGCCTTAAGCTCATGCCGAACGCGTCCTGCGCTCGTGAGTGACTCTGCCCAATTTTCCCATCCTCGCTGCTTCTGTTCCTTTGAGTCACACCTGCCCAATTTCTACCATACCACGAACTACAAGATTTGGATCCGATAACACCTGCTGCCATTACCATGTGACTGCATGAGAATGTTGAAGACCACCATCGCAGCCATTATTATTGTGAACGATGGAAGATATCGCTCTTGGTGCTGACATCATGAGAGAGGAAAGGAATCGAGAAATGAGCTTCACACCAGCAGGGCACGGGGAGTGGACTACGAGATTCACCCTACAACGAGAGTGGACTACAGAGGAGGGCGCGGGGTTGTGCGGGTGATCGTAACGCTCTAGTAGCGTTATTACTATGTGCTATGTTCACAGTGAAAATTGGCAAGCGATTCACTAAGAAGTTGAGAGGAACAATGAGAATAGAGAACAAAATGAGGCATGAACGTCGTTGTGACTAGAATGACATAGCCACACCTAGCACGCATTCTGCAATGCGAATTGCCAGCACAGCATCAAAGCGGCTTGCCAGCAGCAGAGTGGCTTACCAGCGCCGCAACAGGGCAGCGGTACATTTACAGGTGAATTTCTGCGCACATCTGTGCACCTAACAAGTAGGTGAAGGTCGACGGTTGCACCATTCGGCGGATTGCACAGGTGCCAGGTCGAAAATGTGTCGTCGGTTTTGCCAGGTGTATACCGACAAGCACGTGATATCGTTCCGCAGGTCGACTTTTGCTAAAATCCTCCGAAGGGAAGTTCGCACACCTCCGCAGAGTTTTGCAGTCGCGCGAATTCGGTCAACTAGTTCGCCAATACTAGATTCGTTGAGCAGTGCTCTTTGATCCGAGGCTGAGGCTCATCAAAAGAGGGCTCATCGATCAGAGAACGGGCTCCTTGAAAAGCATCCCTTTCGCCAGAGTTCGCGCGACTCACTAGCTGATCAGAGGACGAGGTCGTCGAACGACACTCTGTCGATCAGAGCTCGTGGATGGGCTACTCGACCTGCCTCGTCGGAAACCACCCCGTCAATCAGAGATCGGGTTGGTCGACAATCAAATTATCTAAACCCGATAGCCAATTCGATGACCGCTTCGTCGAATTCACCATGTCGCCGCAGAGAACACATGCGCCCAAGCGAGGGCGGGGCCTCTTACTTCGACAATACTAATCCCTGTCAATCTGGGCAGAAGAGGGACGTAGAGATGAAGGCCCCCATAGCCATAATAACTTCTCGAGCCGTAGGCGAGAAGTGGGTCTTTACAGTGCATGGGAGGGGAATATGCTGAGTAAATGCCTCATGATGGCAGGCAGCATGCCTTGTGAAGCACGTGTAAGGCGATAATAGCGAAGCACCATTGCTGACTTGGCGGTTGCCTGCTTTCTCGGTGTGAGAACATATTTTTTTTTTCCAAATAAAAGACCGACCTTCATTGTGAACATTCATACATCATTTTTTTAAGGTGGAACTCATGGTACCTAAATTTGAAACGTCACCCCTGGTTTTTGCCCTTAAATGCTCGTTCCTTCATTGTACTCCTCATTCTGTAATCACATCCTTTTTGTAAAGTCTTCCAAGCGGTCTAGTACAACGAACTACTTTTACCGCGTCTTGCCTGACGAGCTGGCGGCTCAAACAGTCCCTGGACGGGACGACCGTTCGAGAGTGAAAACCCGAGCAGTGCAGCAGCAGCTTGGGGACTTGTCTGTCGGGTCTTCGATTTTCTCGAATTGTGTTCCCTTCAAACTCATGTGGCCGGTGGGGACGCGTTCCTTTCCTCAGATCATCGTCGCGAGGATCCGAATGCAGGCCCATGCACGACAGGTCACGGTTACCCGACAAACCATTACCAGATAAAGTTCGTATCATCCCGATTAGATCACGGCGATGTGGAGTAGGGGACGTGGTTGCCACCCCGTCGGAACAGATCGGCATACCTTTAAAGACACGCCCTTGATTTGCCGTGTTCCACTCGCTCGCGACTGATGCGCGCCTGCCTGATCCGTGGACCCTTGAGGCGTATCATACAAGTTCGTTTTCGCTCGAAACCCTACCCAAATGTAGTAACATGTATACGAGCCGTTTTGAAACGTACAAAATCGCATCCTACCGTAATAAACTGAACTCACATTAGACTCCCTAGGGCTGGACGCCTACTGTAAGCTCCACCTCTCAAGCCCAGAACGGCTCTTACCGCATAGCGCTTGCGTGAGACGTGAAATTGCCTCGTCTCGTCGCGTATTGCTTGCTCCATCCCATCCCGTGCTGCGACATTCCCAAGCTGCTTCTTCAGGCCGAGGCCGCCTCTGCCGCCACTGCCGCGCTACCAGGTGTTTCGCAGCGTCCTCGCGAAGACCATGTGTTGGTCGCGCTGGCAGCGTCGGCATCGAACCCGGCTCGTCCATTTAACGACAGCCTTGAGCCGCGACGCTTAGTCGTATCTACCGTTGCCTTTTCCATCGAGCCCCGTAGGATAGTATATGTTGCTGTCCTCGCTCCTTGCTCCTTGCTTCTCGCTCCTCGCTCGTCGTCCCCCTCCCGTGTACATTAGCAGTTCTCGGCGTTACTGGCTCACCTTCGAAAGCTCCTCCGCGAATCTCCCAACCGGTTACCGTTAACTTTCTGTTCATACGATCCGTTATTAGACTTTTGCTTTTGACCTTCCGACATTGGCTTTGACCTTTAACCTTCCGACCTTTAATTATTAACTCCCGCCACAGCCGCACGGCATCCCCGCACGACTCTCCGCGCATGACTCTCCGACTCTCCGCGCATGACTCTCCGCGCATGACTCTCCGCGCATGACTCTCCGCGCATGACTCTCCGCGCATGACTCTCCGCGCGTGACCCGCCCCGTGGATGTCATCGTCGGGTCGCAGCAGCAGCAGCAGCAACACCGCCTTCAAGGAGAAGTTCTCCTCCGATCGCAGCGTCGCCAGCAGCGTCGCCAGCAGCGTCGCCAGCAGCGCTGATAGTTGCTCCTCCGCGCATGACTGGCCGCGCATGAGTGGGCGCGCGTGACGAGCGTCGTGTTGTGGATGTCATTGTCGGGTCGCAGCAGCAGCAGCAGCAACACCGCCTTCTCCTCCGATCGCAGCGTCGCCAGCAGCGTCGCCAGCTGCTCCTCCGCGCGCGCCCTCCCCTCTCTCCCCCGACCTGCCGCCTCCGCCGATTCTGCCGAGCCGGATACCGCAGTTCTCGACACTGCCGCCCCTGATACCACACTCGCCGCTGATACTGTCGTTCCTGATTCCGCCGCCCCTGGTTCCGCCTCAGCCGCCCCCCCGTGGGACATCCGCGCGTCCCCCGCCGCGGGTAGCGCGGGCGTGCAGCAGGCGAACGGCGACGTGTTCATCCCGTGGCCCGCCCACGTGCGCGCCGCCCTCGCTTCTCCGCAGCAGCAGCAGCAACATCAACAACAACATATCTCCTGGTTCCTGCAGCAGCAGCAGCAGCAGGGTCTTCAGGGAGGAGAACAGCACGAGCAGCAGCAGTATTTCACTCTTTTCCAGCAGCACGCACAGCAGCAGCAGCAGGGCGTGCGGCGCACAGGGGACTGCGTGGGCACCTGTCTGACGTCGCTGGAGGTGCTTCTGAATCCCTACTGCGCGCGCACCACGCACCACCTGCCCCTCCAACCCCTCCACTCGCCGGCCTTCTCAATGGTATGACACTCTCTCAATGGTAGGCTGCTCTCTGCATGGTACGTCAAAAGAGTCAGTCTGCAAGTGACGGGGGCGTGTCTGACGTCGCTAGAGGTGCTGCTGCACCCCTACTGCGCGCGCACCACGCTCCACCTGCCCCTCCACTCGCCGGCTTTCTCCATGGTATGCTGCTCCCTCTATGATATGTTGCTCTCCCGATCCTCTCTCCATGCTATGCTGCTCTCTCCATGCTATGCTGCCCCCCCTCCCCCCCGTGCACCCCCGCCTCCCCCCCGTGCACCCCCGCCCCCCCTCCCGTGCACCCCCGCCATGGTATGCTGCTCCCTCTATGATATGATGCTCTCTCCATGGCCTGCGTGCACCCCTGTTGCCCCCGTCCAACCCCGCCCTTCCCCGTGCATCCCCGCCCTCCACCCCCCCTTCCCCGTGCACCTCTCTCTGGCCAGGCGTCCAATTCGTCGGCGCCCCACTCCAACGGCCCGTCCCCGCTCGCCCCCTGGCCAAGGTTCAAAATTACGGTTTTCGTAAAATACGGTCCGTTTTTTACGGTCGTTTTTTACGGTGATTTTCCAAAAAAACGGCCGTTTTTTTGTTAGAGAACTCTGTTTATTAAGAAAAAAAATAGAAAAACAAGGTAAAAAACCTTTTTAATCATGCCAACAAGCGCATACATGCAAGAAGGGGTCCGTCCCCTTCATGCTGCTGCATTTCGGGTTCAATTTGGTTCCACTGAGTGGCCGTTTTGTTAGTTAAACAGGAAACACCTCCTGGAACCGTTTTAAACCGTTTTTTACGACCGTTTTTTACGGTACCGTTTTTTACGGTAAAATTTCAAAAAAACGGTCGTTTTTTTGAACCCTGCCCCTGGCACAACCCGTGCACCCCTGTCGCCCCCCGTCCCTTTTGAGAATTCTTGAAAGTGACTCCCTGTCGCCCCCCTTGCATCCCCGCCACCCCCGCGTGTGCACCCTCCCGGCCAGGCGTCCAATTCGTCGGCGCCCCCCTCCAACGGCCCATCCCCGCTCGCCCCCTGGCACAACCCGCAGCAGCAGCAGCAGCAGCAGCAGTCGCATCCCAACCCGCAGCCGCGCCCCTATCACCCGCAGCAGCAGCAGGCCTTCCCTCCCCCGCACGGCCTCATGCCACCGCCACAGCCACGCCCATCGCAGCAGCAAAACCAGGTCTCGTTTCAGCAGCAGTCACTGCAGCAAAACCAGAGTGTGTTTCAGCATCAGCACCAGCAGCATTCGCAGCAGCATGCACAGCAGCAGCAGGGGCCAGACATGGGCATGGGCATGGGAATGGGCATGGACATGGAGCTGAGCATTCAGCTGCCGGCACGTCGCTGGCAGCCCACCCTGGCAGCTGTCACGCCCGGCAGAAGCCTCACCGCCTCCGTGCTCGGCCGCGGCCCCACGCGTAAGCCCACCCCTTCGTAAGCTCACAGATTAACTGATTCTCTGGTGACGAGAGTGGAAAGCCACTTGAGTGCTTGGGTGACTTTTGACGCGACACAAAAGTCACTCGGCAGAAGCCTCACTGCCTCCGTGCTGGGCCGCGGCCCCACCCGTAAGCCCACAGAGTACACTGAGTTGATGTTAACGAGAGTCGAAAGTAACTTGAGTGCCTAGGCGACTTTTGAGTCGACTCAAAAGTCACCCGGCAGAAGTCTCACCGCCTCCGTGCTCGGCCGCGCCGCGGCCCCACCCGTAAGCCCACCCACCCGTAAGCCCATCCACGCCTCCCCTCCCCTGCCCATTCCCTTGCCCCACCCGTAAGCCCAGCCCCACCCACGCCCCCACTCCCCTGCCCATTCACTTGCCCCACCCGTAAGCCCACCCATGCCCCCCTCCCCCGCCCATTCCCTTGCCCCCCCATAAGCTCACAGGTAACGAGATTGGCCAGTAACTTGAGAGCCTTGGTGTCAGCCTTGCATGTACAGTAAGGGCAAGTGGCCTTGGTAACCGATCTCGCAGTGAAGTGACCAGTGAAGGTTACACCGTTACACGTGCATGCAATCGCGGTCCCCCATGCACATCCTGGAGGCGGGAGGTAACCGCCTCTGTGTTTGGCTAGCGTGGCATGGGAGGCGGAATGGGTGGGCGCCTCCATGGGAGGCAATTGCCTCTGCTCCCTGGCATTGCCAACACCACCTCTCCACTCGTCTCCCTTCCACTCCATCCCTTTCATTCTCTCTGCCCTCCCCTCTCACCTCCTCCGCGCCTCCCCTCTCATCTCCTCCGCGCCTCCCCTACTCCTCACTTCCCGTTCCCTCTCTCTCTCCTCTGCCCTCCCTTCTCGTCTCCTTCTCCGTTCCCTCCTCCCTCTCCTCCTCCTCTCCTCCTCACTTCTTGACGACTCTCTGTAAAGTATTCGTTAGGACGAGGACTTCCGAATACGTCATAAGCAAGACCTGTGCTAACGAACAACCAACCCGCTATTACCCACCCCGTCCCCCAGCCAATATCCGCACGCTGTTCAACATAGAGCGCAAGGCGCTGGGCGAAGGGCAGTACGGCAAGGTGTATGTGTGCACGGAGAAGGCGCCTCTCTCTCCTCTGCCCTCCCTTCACGTTCCCCCCCTCTCTTTTTTCCCCCCCGCACCCACCCCGTCCCCCAGCCAACATCCGCACGCTGTTCAACATAGAGCGCAAGGCGCTGGGCGAGGGGCAGTACGGCAAGGTGTATGTGTGCACGGAGAAGGCCACAGGCGTGCGGTATGCGTGCAAGACCATCGCACGGAGCACCCTCATCTCCGTGGAGGACGTGGAGGACGTGCGCATGGAGGTGAGCGTGCCTCGTGACCGTGCCTCGTGAGCGTGCCTCATGACCGTGCCTCGTGACCGTGCCTCGTGACCGTGCCTCGTGACCGTGCCTCGTGACCGTGCCTCGTGAGCGTGCCTCGTGAGCGTGACTCGTGAGCGTGCCTCGTGACCGTGACTCGTGACCGTGCTGTTTCACCAGCAGTGTAGGACCATCCCAACGTGGTACGCCTGCAAGACCATCGCCCGCAGCTCCCTCATCTCCGTGGAAGATGTGGAGGACGTTCGCATGGAGGTGAGAGTGACTCGTGACCGTGCCTCGTGACCGTGCTGTTTCACCAGCAGTGTAGGACCATCCCAACGTGGTACGCCTGCAAGACCATCGCCCGCAGCTCCCTCATCTCCGTGGAAGATGTGGAGGACGTTCGCATGGAGGTGAGAGTGACTCGTGACCGTGCCTCGTGACCGTGCTGTTTCACCAGCAGTGTAGGACCATCCCAACGTGGTACGCCTGCAAGACCATCGCCCGCAGCTCCCTCATCTCCGTGGAAGATGTGGAGGACGTTCGCATGGAGGTGAGCGTGTGGGCAAAGGGCGAGTCGAGCTTTCTCTACTCGGTTTTGCGAGTTTTGCTGACCAGTCAAGAGGAGTTGAGGAAAACACTTTCGATCATTCCCCGCCCACCCACCCCTTGTTTGAGTTTTTTTTTGAACCTGTTACCACCAGCAGATCATGTGCTCGAGCTAAGAGCACCTCTTGAAACAAATCCAGCTCAAGTTCAGCATTTGCTACCACCAGCCACAGTCGTTTAGTGTTTTCCTATGATATGCATGAAAGTGATTATTATGGAAAAAAGGACCAGGTGTGTCACACTGGCAAGCGTTTGGGCTTTAAAATGAAAGGGAGCATGCATTACATGCATCCTCCAATGAAGACACGGGCACTCACCCCCTCCATACCACTCATCATAGCAGCCAAACGCGCTCTCATCTCTTCACAACTTCCCATCCAACCCCACCCCACCCCAGGGTGTTCCGGCTGCAGGGCCAGCCGAACGTGGTGCGCGTGCGTGCACTCGACGTTCGAGGACCGGCGCGATAAAAGTTGAGTCTTGAGACGTCTCAAAACTCACAGCTTCTCACCCCACCCCACCCCACCCCACCCCACCCCACCCCACCCCACCCCACCCCACCTCACCTCAGGTGAGCGTGCTGTTCCGGCTGCAGGGTCGGCCGAACGTGATGTGCGTGCACTCCACGTACGCGTGATAACAGCTGAGTTTTGAGACGTCTCAAAACTCACAGCCTTTCACCCCACCCCACCCCACCCCACCCTACCCCACCCCACCCCACCGCACCCCACCGCACCCCACGTCAGGTGAGCGTGCTGTTCCGGCTGCAGGGCCAGCCGAACGTGGTGCGCGTGCACTCCACATACGAGGACCGTGTGATAAATGTTGAGTTTTGAGCCGTCTCAAAACTCACAGCTTCTCACCCCACCCCACCCCACCCCACCCCACCCACCCCACCCCACCGCACCCCACCGCACCCCACCTCAGGTGAGCGTGCTGTTCCGGCTGCAGGGCCAGCCGAACGTGGTGCGCGTGCACTCAACATACGAGGACCGGCGGGACATCCACATTGTGATGGAGCTGTGCAGCGGGGGGGAGCTCTTTGACGAGATCAACCGCCGCTGCGATGAGATGACCGTGCCCTACAGGTGAGATGACCGTGCCCTACAGGTGAGGGGTGCATAGGATGGGGGGTGTCCTACAGGTGAGGAGTGGATGGGATGGGGGGCGCCCTACAGGTGAGGGGTGTATGGCATGGTGGTGATGTGCAGGTGCGTGAAGCAAGAGTGGTTTTGAGCCGTCTCAAGGGCATTCGACGTACGAGGCTGTGCAGCGGGGGGGAGCTCTTTGATGAGATCAACCGCCGCTGCGATGAGATGACCGTGCCCTACAGGTGAGATGACCGTGCCCTACAGGTGAGATGACCGTGCCCTACAGGTGAGATGACCGTGCCCTACAGGTGAGATGACCGTGCCCTACAGGTGAGATGACCGTGCCCTACAGGTGAGTGAGGAGTGGCATGGCATGGGGGATGCGCTACAGGTGAGCGGTGCATGGCATGGGGGGTGACGTGCAGGTGAGGGGTGGATGGGATGGGGGGTGACCTACAGGTGAGTGAGGGGTGGGTGGGACGGGGGTGCTGTACAGCTCAGGGGTTGGATGGGACGGGTCATGGTGATGGGAGTGTCCTACAGGCTACAGGTAAGGGGTGGGTGGATGGGACGGATCATGGGTGCTGTACTGGTGATGGGATGGGGGGGATGGGATGGGGGTGCCCTACAGGTGATGGGTGGGTGGATGGGATGGTAGGTGCGGGACAGGTGAGGGGATGGAAAGGGGAGGGGTATTTGGGTGGAGTATTCGGTGTGTATGCTCATAGGATCCAGGCGTCGACTGGTGAGGGGAGGGTGTGGGAGTGCATGGATGGATGGATGGCCCAGAGTGCTGTGGAAGTGACCAAACTTTCTAGCATCAGAGTCTTACACAGCTTTCACACACATGAGCCTTGCATCTACCTGCCAGCCATGCACTCACCATCTCCGTTCCACCACTTTTGCATCCCTCACCACATTTGCCCCTGGCCCTCACCCCGCCATTGCCACCACCATCCCTCCTATCCCACCCTCCGCATGCCATGCCTCACCCGCCCTCTCCCAACTACTTCCAATCCCCCGTCACCCCCCCACTGACCGCCGTGCGCGTGGCGGGCAGTGAAGTAGAGATGAGCATTTGCCCCGCGCGGGTCGGGCTGGCCCGACCCGACCCGTGGTTTAGCCCGGGTCAGGTCAGTAGTTTCAATAACCTGCCCCGTGCGGGCCGACCCGACCCGACCCGGGCTAAAACCCGACCCGAGCATGGGACTCGGGCCGAGTCGGGTCGGGTCTCGGGTCAGCTTTGACCCGACCCGATTTCGGGTCAGAATTTGGGAAATCGGGTCGGGTCAGATCTCGACACAGGGGGGACCCGAAACCCTAACACATTTTATGTCAAGGGTATTTTTTTCCCCGTACACATCATTTCATTACCGCACACCTAATATCCTTCCTCAAGCGACCAACGTCGTCTAGGAACCATAACTACTTAGTTTGCAGCCAAAGAATGATGCTGCTAAGTTAAAGTCGACTTTGTGGAGAGGCTCAATGTCGAGGGATCTGTAAAGAGTGGGGGGGGGGGGGGGGAGGGTTGGGAATGGTAGATTTAGTGCGGTAAGGAGTGGTGAGCAGTGGCGAATTGGTTGGAATTATTTGTTCCAACACATTCGTCAGAAACGAGTGCCACGGTGAAACTCCCAATCTCCACCAGATTTTCAGCGAAATTGACGATTTGCAGAGTTGCGCCAACGAACTCACCGATCTGCGCAGATCGGCGGACGAAATCGCCGATCTGCGCAGATCGGCGGGAGAAATCGCCGATCTGCGCAGATCGGCGGGCGAAATCGCCGATCTGCGCAGATCGGCGGGCGAAAGCGCCGATCTGCGCAGAGCGCGGGTGAAATCGGGTTTCCTGGCCCGACCCGACCCGGCCCGAGCCGAACTCGGGCCAGGGTCGGCCCGGCCCTGTACCCCCGGGTCGGGCCAGATGTTTCGGGAATCTGGCCCGAGGTCGACCCGACCCGACCCGACCCGAGGGCCCGTATGGCCCGGCCAAATCGGGTCGGGTCGGGTCGGGTCGGGTCAAATGCTCAACTCTACAGTGAAGTGAGCGGGACGCGGCGAAGCTGTGCAAGGCAGTGGGCCGCGCAGTGCACTCATCCCCGCTCTCTTCCCCCGCTACTCTCCATTCCCCCCCATCCCCCACCGACCAGTGAGCGGGACGCTGCGAAGCTGTGCAAGGCGGTGGTGCGCACGGTGCACTCATCCCCACTACTTCCCATCTCCCTTCACCCTCCCACCTGTCTGTAGTGAGCGCGATGCGGCGAAGCTGTGCAAGGCAGTGGTGCGCGCGGTGCACCACTCGTGCCACAGCAGCGGCGTGATCCACCGCGACCTCAAGCCCGAAAACTTCCTCTTCTCCACCGCCAACCCCGATGCTGCTGACCCTGATGCCGCTGGCTCTGATGCGGTTGTGCGTGCAGTGCACTCATCCCCGCTCTCTCCCCCCCACTACTCCCCTTCCCTCTCTCCCCCCCCCCCCCCCATACCCCCTCTCCGTGTGCGCGACGGGCAGTGAGAGGGATGCGGCGAAGCTATGCAAGGCGGTGGTGCGTGCGGTGCACTCGTGCCACAGCAGCGGCGTGATCCACCGCGACCTCAAGCCCGAGAACTTCCTCTTCTCCACCGCTGGCCCCGATGCCGTGCTCAAAGCCGCTGACTTCGGCATGGCTGCCTACTTCAAACCCGGTGAGGGAGAGAGAGAGCGAGAGAGGGGCACTCGTGACGGCCCGGTGGGCAGCCTCTAAGGCAGGTGAGAGGATCTACCTCTTCTCCTCCGCTGGCCCCGATGCCGTGCTCAAGGCCGCTGACTTCGGCATGGCTGCCTACTTCAAACCCGGTGAGGGAGAGAGAGATAAGCACCCGTGACTGCCCTGTGGGCTGCCTCCAAGCTGGTTTTTCAGGGTCTTAAAAACCGCCTCCAAGGCAGGTGAGAGGAACTTCCTCTTCTCCTCCGCTGGCCCTGATGCCGTGCTCAAACCCGCTCACTTCGGCATGGCTGCCTACTTCAAACCCGGTGAGGGAGATGGGTGAGGGGCACGGATAAGGGGCACGGGTGAGGGGCACGGGTGAGCGGCACGGGTGAGCGGCACGGGTGAGGGGCAGGTGGGGCGCCTTGAAGCCAAGGGGTGGGCTGGCAAGGGGTGGCACGGGCACGGCTAGTGGTGCAGAGGGATGCAGGGGAGTGATAGAAGGGCTTGCCGCCACTGCTGAGAATGAGAGAGGCGCCGCCATCTGTGCAGCAGCATGAGCTGATGACCTCATGCACGGATGTGTTTTCCCCCCCACATGCCTGCATCATCCCCGTCTGCCCTGTGTGTGCATGGGTGCATGACAGGAGAGGGCTTCATGCGGGTGTGTGGCAGCTGCATGTACATGGCGCCAGAGGTGATCCGCATCTGGGAGAATTCAGGGGCTGAAATGTGCTCTCTGCTCTGTGCGCCCGTGTGCCCTGTGTGTGTGCATGTGTGCGTGCAACAGGAGAGGGCTTCACGCGGGTGTGTGGCAGCTGCATGTACATGGCGCCAGAGGTGATCCGCATCTGGGAGAATTCAGGGGCTGAAATGTGCTCTCTGCTCTGTGTGCCCGTGTGCCCTGTGTGTGTGCATGTGTGCGTGCAACAGGAGAGGGCTTCACGCGGGTGTGTGGCAGCTGCATGTACATGGCACCTGAGGTGATCCGCATCTGGGAGAATCTGGGCAAGCAGCGCTACGGGCCCCCCGTGGACATCTGGGCGTGCGGTGTCATCTTCTACATCCTGCTCGCCGGCAACTACCCCTTCCTGCCCCCCGGCCCCGATAGTAAGTAGCTTCTCTCCATTCCCCACCTTCCTCTCCCCCACTCCCTCCCTCCCTCCTTTTCCCCCGTGGACATCTGGGCGTGCCAGCTACTCTCCCATTCCAACCATCCAGGCGAGGTAATGAGCTTGCCCTTCCACTCCTCTCCCTCCTCCTCGTCCTCCCTCTCTCCCTCGCTTGTTGCCTTATCCATCCTACATCGCGCTCTTGTCTCTCTCTACGCTTCCTCAACGCACCACCCACTTTCAACCCCCCTACAATCAATTGTCCCCGCTAGTACCCACTCGTATCCATCTCAATCCCCACCGCCCTGCCTCTCCACCTTTCTCCTCCTCCCTGCTTCGCCCCGCTTCCCTGCCCAACGCCCTGCAGGGTCGGAGAGGGCGTTCAGGCGGGTGATACTGCCGCCACACTTAATCCTCGTCCCTGCATCCCCTCCCTCCCTCCCTCCCCCCCTCCCCAACGCCCCCCTGCAGGGTCGGAGCGGGCGTTCAGGCGGGTGATACTGCAGCCGCAGCGGCTGTTCCGCGAGGCGGTGTGGGGGCGCATATCAGCGGACGCCAAGAGCCTCATCAGCGCCATGCTTCACCCCGACCCTGCCCTGCGCCCCACGGCAAAGCAGGTGCTTGGTACGTGGGCATGGTAGATGGTGGGTGGGTTGTGGTGGGTGGGATGTGGTGCGGTGCGGTGCCCGTGGTATGGCGGTGTGGGCGCGCATATCAGCGGACGCCAAGAGCCTCATCAGCGCCATGCTGCACCCCGACCCCGCCCTGCGCCCCACCGCGCAGCAAGTGCTGGGTACGTTCTTCTAGTATATGGTGGTTGGGATATGGTGCGGTGCGGTGGGTGATACATGTGGTGGGAGAGCAGATGCCATGCTGCACCCCGACCCCGCCCTGCGCCCCTCCGCGCAGCAGGTGCTTGGTACGTGACCCTGGTATATGGTGGGTGGGTTGTGGTGGGTGGAGTATGGTGCGGTGCGGTGCCCGTGACATGGCGGTGTGGGGGCGCATATCAGCGGACGCCAAGAGCCTCATCAGCGCCATGCTCCACCCCGACCCCAACCTGCGCCCCACCGCGCAGCAGGTGCTTGGTACGTGACCCTGGTATATGGTGGGTGGGTTGTGGTGGGTGGAGTATGGTGCGGTGCGGTGCCCGTGACATGGCGGTGTGGGGGCGCATATCAGCGGACGCCAAGAGCCTCATCAGCGCCGTGCTGCACCCCTAAGTTGGAATATACGCTCGGCTGGCAAGGCGTATTGCGTTTGTACGCTGGCGTATATACGTAAAAACGCAAAACGCTAGAAATACGCTCGGATTTCGGGCGGGCAGCCCGTCGGAAAAAAAAAACCTAAAATAGGAATTGCGAGTTGCGATGCGGAACAATTTGTGAGGAACATCGCCAACTCAATTTTGGCTCCCAAATTTGGAGTTCAAAAGTTTTCAACCGCTTTGAATCCCAACATACCTCTCAGATCCAACCTACCCATCCCCACCAAGAAATCCACGCACAGCATGCACGCACGAATACAAGGCGAGCCTGAAGCAACCTACGCTGTCTCCATTTTCGTAGTTGACGACACATCGCTTTCAATAACATGCGCTAAGCTTAATCCGCTGCAGCCATATCTACCCTCTCAAGCACTCTAGTGAGTGCACGTACGTTCGAATTGCGTCCGCGGAAGGTTCCACCGCGATGGTATTTTAGGAAGATAGCGATCATTTCAATTTCAGGCACTTCCGCATATATCCGCGAGAAATCCCATTCCAAAAAAAACAGGAAGAGATAAGTGTGGGTGCATATCCCCCTCCCCTCGCTAGAAATCGGTATTTTACCCTGCCCGGAAAAGTTTTTACGCTGCCCGCCCCTCCGTATTTCAAGCGTATATCAACATCCTCTCTGGACGTATTGCGTATTATACTCTAGCGTATACACGCATGCGTACAAAACGCGAAACGCGTATATTCCAACTTAGCTGCACCCCGACCCCGCCCTGCGCCCTACGGCAAAGCAGGTGCTTGGTACGTGCCCGTGATATGGTGGGTGCTCAGTGCGTGCTAGGGTTGTGGTGGGTGGGATATGGTGCGGTGAGGTGGGTGATACATGTGGTGGGAGAGTAGATGCCATGCTGCACCCCGACCCCACCCTGCGCCCCACGGCACAGCAAGTGCTCGGTACGTGCCCCTGGTATATGGTGGGTGGGTTGTGGTGGGTGGGATATGGTGCCGTGAGGTGGGTAATATTATGATATACGTGGCGAGAGAGCAGATGCCATGCTGCACCCCCACCCCGCTCTGTGCTCCAGGTGGTCGGTGCGTGCCCGTGATGTAGTGGGTGGTCGGTGCGTGCCACTGTGCCACAATAGCAGAGGGCTGCTCAATGTGCTGGGTTGCTGGGTGGGTGGGAAATGGTGCGATGAACATGGTGGGAGAGCAGATGCCATGCCACCATTCACTTCCACTCAAGCATGTTGTGCTGAGGTGCCAATCGGCCTGTATCACCTCTAATCCCACACCCTTCTTCCCCTTCTATCTTTCCGTCCTTATTGCTTCTGCTTGCCTGTCTGAACCTCTCCTCCTGTACCTCTCTGCCTGTCGCAACCACACCGCATTCCCACCATCTCCGCACGTCCCTCTCTCCCCCGTGTTGCATGCTGCATGCTGTGTGCGGTGCAAGCAGCGTGACCTCACAGAGCACGCGTGGATAAGCCGCGCGCCTGACGAGCCGCTGGAGAAGGACGTGGTGGACCGTCTGTCTATCCCGCACCCTTCTTCTTGCCCTGCTATCTTTCCGTCCTTGTTGCTTTCCCATCCCTCTCTCCCACGTACTGCATGATACATGGCCGTGCAGAGCACGCGTGGATAAGCCGGGCGCCGGACGAGCCGTTGGAGAAGGACGTGGTGGATCGACTTTTGAGGCGCCTCAGAATTCCGCACATCCCTCTCTCCCACCTATTGCGTGCTGCACGTGGCCTCTCACAGAGCACGCATGGATAAGCCGTGCGCCAGACGAGCCGTTGGAGAAAGACGTGGTGGACCGCTTCAAGCAGTTCCTCTACGTCATGCGCCTCAACAAGGTCAAGAAGGTGGCGCTGCGGGTGAGTCAAGCAGGTGGACAGCCACAGTGTGTGTCGCTTCAAGCAGGGTGTGTGTGGACTGGCAGTGAGGGTGAGCCGATTCAAGCAGTTCCTCTACGTCATGCGCCTCAACAAGGTCAAGAAGGTGGCGCTGCGGGTGAGTCAAGCAGGTGGACAGCCACAGTGTGTGTCGCTTCAAGCAGGGTGTGTGTGGACTGGCAGTGAGGGTGAGCCGATTCAAGCAGTTCCTCTACGTCATGCGCCTCAACAAGGTCAAGAAGGTGGCGCTGCGGGTGAGTCAAGCAGGTGGACAGCCACAGTGTGTGTCGCTTCAAGCAGGGTGTGTGTGGACTGGCAGTGAGGGTGAGCCGATTCAAGCAGTTCCTCTACGTCATGCGCCTCAACAAGGTCAAGAAGGTGGCGCTGCGGGTGAGTCAAGCAGGTGGACAGCCACAGTGTGTGTCGCTTCAAGCAGGGTGTGTGTGGACTGGCAGTGAGGGTGAGCCGATTCAAGCAGTTCCTCTACGTCATGCGCCTCAACAAGGTCAAGAAGGTGGCGCTGCGGGTGAGTCAAGCAGGTGGACAGCCACAGTGTGTGTCGCTTCAAGCAGGGTGTGTGTGGACTGGCAGTGAGGGTGAGCCGATTCAAGCAGTTCCTCTACGTCATGCGCCTCAACAAGGTCAAGAAGGTGGCGCTGCGGGTGAGTCAAGCAGGTGGACAGCCACAGTGTGTGTCGCTTCAAGCAGGGTGTGTGTGGACTGGCAGTGAGGGTGAGCCGATTCAAGCAGTTCCTCTACGTCATGCGCCTCAACAAGGTCAAGAAGGTGGCGCTGCGGGTGAGTCAAGCAGGTGGACAGCCACAGTGTGTGTCGCTTCAAGCAGGGTGTGTGTGGACTGGCAGTGAGGGTGAGCCGATTCAAGCAGTTCCTCTACGTCATGCGCCTCAACAAGGTCAAGAAGGTGGCGCTGCGGGTGAGTCAAGCAGGTGGACAGCCACAGTGTGTGTCGCTTCAAGCAGGGTGTGTGTGGACTGGCAGTGAGGGTGAGCCGATTCAAGCAGTTCCTCTACGTCATGCGCCTCAACAAGGTCAAGAAGGTGGCGCTGCGGGTGAGTCAAGCAGGTGGACAGCCACAGTGTGTGTCGCTTCAAGCAGGGTGTGTGTGGACTGGCAGTGAGGGTGAGCCGATTCAAGCAGTTCCTCTACGTCATGCGCCTCAACAAGGTCAAGAAGGTGGCGCTGCGGGTGAGTCAAGCAGGTGGACAGCCACAGTGTGTGTCGCTTCAAGCAGGGTGTGTGTGGACTGGCAGTGAGGGTGAGCCGATTCAAGCAGTTCCTCTACGTCATGCGCCTCAACAAGGTCAAGAAGGTGGCGCTGCGGGTGAGTCAAGCAGGTGGACAGCCACAGTGTGTGTCGCTTCAAGCAGGGTGTGTGTGGACTGGCAGTGAGGGTGAGCCGATTCAAGCAGTTCCTCTACGTCATGCGCCTCAACAAGGTCAAGAAGGTGGCGCTGCGGGTGAGTCAAGCAGGTGGACAGCCACAGTGTGTGTCGCTTCAAGCAGGGTGTGTGTGGACTGGCAGTGAGGGTGAGCCGATTCAAGCAGTTCCTCTACGTCATGCGCCTCAACAAGGTCAAGAAGGTGGCGCTGCGGGTGAGTCAAGCAGGTGGACAGCCACAGTGTGTGTCGCTTCAAGCAGGGTGTGTGTGGACTGGCAGTGAGGGTGAGCCGATTCAAGCAGTTCCTCTACGTCATGCGCCTCAACAAGGTCAAGAAGGTGGCGCTGCGGGTGAGTCAAGCAGGTGGACAGCCACAGTGTGTGTCGCTTCAAGCAGGGTGTGTGTGGACTGGCAGTGAGGGTGAGCCGATTCAAGCAGTTCCTCTACGTCATGCGCCTCAACAAGGTCAAGAAGGTGGCGCTGCGGGTGAGTCAAGCAGGTGGACAGCCACAGTGTGTGTCGCTTCAAGCAGGGTGTGTGTGGACTGGCAGTGAGGGTGAGCCGATTCAAGCAGTTCCTCTACGTCATGCGCCTCAACAAGGTCAAGAAGGTGGCGCTGCGGGTGAGTCAAGCAGGTGGACAGCCACAGTGTGTGTCGCTTCAAGCAGGGTGTGTGTGGACTGGCAGTGAGGGTGAGCCGATTCAAGCAGTTCCTCTACGTCATGCGCCTCAACAAGGTCAAGAAGGTGGCGCTGCGGGTGAGTCAAGCAGGTGGACAGCCACAGTGTGTGTCGCTTCAAGCAGGGTGTGTGTGGACTGGCAGTGAGGGTGAGCCGATTCAAGCAGTTCCTCTACGTCATGCGCCTCAACAAGGTCAAGAAGGTGGCGCTGCGGGTGAGTCAAGCAGGTGGACAGCCACAGTGTGTGTCGCTTCAAGCAGGGTGTGTGTGGACTGGCAGTGAGGGTGAGCCGATTCAAGCAGTTCCTCTACGTCATGCGCCTCAACAAGGTCAAGAAGGTGGCGCTGCGGGTGAGTCAAGCAGGTGGACAGCCACAGTGTGTGTCGCTTCAAGCAGGGTGTGTGTGGACTGGCAGTGAGGGTGAGCCGATTCAAGCAGTTCCTCTACGTCATGCGCCTCAACAAGGTCAAGAAGGTGGCGCTGCGGGTGAGTCAAGCAGGTGGACAGCCACAGTGTGTGTCGCTTCAAGCAGGGTGTGTGTGGACTGGCAGTGAGGGTGAGCCGATTCAAGCAGTTCCTCTACGTCATGCGCCTCAACAAGGTCAAGAAGGTGGCGCTGCGGGTGAGTCAAGCAGGTGGACAGCCACAGTGTGTGTCGCTTCAAGCAGGGTGTGTGTGGACTGGCAGTGAGGGTGAGCCGATTCAAGCAGTTCCTCTACGTCATGCGCCTCAACAAGGTCAAGAAGGTGGCGCTGCGGGTGAGTCAAGCAGGTGGACAGCCACAGTGTGTGTCGCTTCAAGCAGGGTGTGTGTGGACTGGCAGTGAGGGTGAGCCGATTCAAGCAGTTCCTCTACGTCATGCGCCTCAACAAGGTCAAGAAGGTGGCGCTGCGGGTGAGTCAAGCAGGTGGACAGCCACAGTGTGTGTCGCTTCAAGCAGGGTGTGTGTGGACTGGCAGTGAGGGTGAGCCGATTCAAGCAGTTCCTCTACGTCATGCGCCTCAACAAGGTCAAGAAGGTGGCGCTGCGGGTGAGTCAAGCAGGTGGACAGCCACAGTGTGTGTCGCTTCAAGCAGGGTGTGTGTGGACTGGCAGTGAGGGTGAGCCGATTCAAGCAGTTCCTCTACGTCATGCGCATCAACAAGGTCAAGAAGGTGGCGCTGCGGGTGAGTCAAGCAGGTGGACAGCCACAGTGTGTGTCGCTTCAAGCAGGGTGTGTGTGGACTGGCAGTGAGGGTGAGCCGATTCAAGCAGTTCCTCTACGTCATGCGCCTCAACAAGGTCAAGAAGGTGGCGCTGCGGGTGAGTCAAGCAGGTGGACAGCCACAGTGTGTGTCGCTTCAAGCAGGGTGTGTGTGGACTGGCAGTGAGGGTGAGCCGATTCAAGCAGTTCCTCTACGTCATGCGCCTCAACAAGGTCAAGAAGGTGGCGCTGCGGGTGAGTCAAGCAGGTGGACAGCCACAGTGTGTGTCGCTTCAAGCAGGGTGTGTGTGGACTGGCAGTGAGGGTGAGCCGATTCAAGCAGTTCCTCTACGTCATGCGCCTCAACAAGGTCAAGAAGGTGGCGCTGCGGGTGAGTCAAGCAGGTGGACAGCCACAGTGTGTGTCGCTTCAAGCAGGGTGTGTGTGGACTGGCAGTGAGGGTGAGCCGATTCAAGCAGTTCCTCTACGTCATGCGCCTCAACAAGGTCAAGAAGGTGGCGCTGCGGGTGAGTCAAGCAGGTGGACAGCCACAGTGTGTGTCGCTTCAAGCAGGGTGTGTGTGGACTGGCAGTGAGGGTGAGCCGATTCAAGCAGTTCCTCTACGTCATGCGCCTCAACAAGGTCAAGAAGGTGGCGCTGCGGGTGAGTCAAGCAGGTGGACAGCCACAGTGTGTGTCGCTTCAAGCAGGGTGTGTGTGGACTGGCAGTGAGGGTGAGCCGATTCAAGCAGTTCCTCTACGTCATGCGCCTCAACAAGGTCAAGAAGGTGGCGCTGCGGGTGAGTCAAGCAGGTGGACAGCCACAGTGTGTGTCGCTTCAAGCAGGGTGTGTGTGGACTGGCAGTGAGGGTGAGCCGATTCAAGCAGTTCCTCTACGTCATGCGCCTCAACAAGGTCAAGAAGGTGGCGCTGCGGGTGAGTCAAGCAGGTGGACAGCCACAGTGTGTGTCGCTTCAAGCAGGGTGTGTGTGGACTGGCAGTGAGGGTGAGCCGATTCAAGCAGTTCCTCTACGTCATGCGCCTCAACAAGGTCAAGAAGGTGGCGCTGCGGGTGAGTCAAGCAGGTGGACAGCCACAGTGTGTGTCGCTTCAAGCAGGGTGTGTGTGGACTGGCAGTGAGGGTGAGCCGATTCAAGCAGTTCCTCTACGTCATGCGCCTCAACAAGGTCAAGAAGGTGGCGCTGCGGGTGAGTCAAGCAGGTGGACAGCCACAGTGTGTGTCGCTTCAAGCAGGGTGTGTGTGGACTGGCAGTGAGGGTGAGCCGATTCAAGCAGTTCCTCTACGTCATGCGCCTCAACAAGGTCAAGAAGGTGGCGCTGCGGGTGAGTCAAGCAGGTGGACAGCCACAGTGTGTGTCGCTTCAAGCAGGGTGTGTGTGGACTGGCAGTGAGGGTGAGCCGATTCAAGCAGTTCCTCTACGTCATGCGCCTCAACAAGGTCAAGAAGGTGGCGCTGCGGGTGAGTCAAGCAGGTGGACAGCCACAGTGTGTGTCGCTTCAAGCAGGGTGTGTGTGGACTGGCAGTGAGGGTGAGCCGATTCAAGCAGTTCCTCTACGTCATGCGCCTCAACAAGGTCAAGAAGGTGGCGCTGCGGGTGAGTCAAGCAGGTGGACAGCCACAGTGTGTGTCGCTTCAAGCAGGGTGTGTGTGGACTGGCAGTGAGGGTGAGCCGATTCAAGCAGTTCCTCTACGTCATGCGCCTCAACAAGGTCAAGAAGGTGGCGCTGCGGGTGAGTCAAGCAGGTGGACAGCCACAGTGTGTGTCGCTTCAAGCAGGGTGTGTGTGGACTGGCAGTGAGGGTGAGCCGATTCAAGCAGTTCCTCTACGTCATGCGCCTCAACAAGGTCAAGAAGGTGGCGCTGCGGGTGAGTCAAGCAGGTGGACAGCCACAGTGTGTGTCGCTTCAAGCAGGGTGTGTGTGGACTGGCAGTGAGGGTGAGCCGATTCAAGCAGTTCCTCTACGTCATGCGCCTCAACAAGGTCAAGAAGGTGGCGCTGCGGGTGAGTCAAGCAGGTGGACAGCCACAGTGTGTGTCGCTTCAAGCAGGGTGTGTGTGGACTGGCAGTGAGGGTGAGCCGATTCAAGCAGTTCCTCTACGTCATGCGCCTCAACAAGGTCAAGAAGGTGGCGCTGCGGGTGAGTCAAGCAGGTGGACAGCCACAGTGTGTGTCGCTTCAAGCAGGGTGTGTGTGGACTGGCAGTGAGGGTGAGCCGATTCAAGCAGTTCCTCTACGTCATGCGCCTCAACAAGGTCAAGAAGGTGGCGCTGCGGGTGAGTCAAGCAGGTGGACAGCCACAGTGTGTGTCGCTTCAAGCAGGGTGTGTGTGGACTGGCAGTGAGGGTGAGCCGATTCAAGCAGTTCCTCTACGTCATGCGCCTCAACAAGGTCAAGAAGGTGGCGCTGCGGGTGAGTCAAGCAGGTGGACAGCCACAGTGTGTGTCGCTTCAAGCAGGGTGTGTGTGGACTGGCAGTGAGGGTGAGCCGATTCAAGCAGTTCCTCTACGTCATGCGCCTCAACAAGGTCAAGAAGGTGGCGCTGCGGGTGAGTCAAGCAGGTGGACAGCCACAGTGTGTGTCGCTTCAAGCAGGGTGTGTGTGGACTGGCAGTGAGGGTGAGCCGATTCAAGCAGTTCCTCTACGTCATGCGCCTCAACAAGGTCAAGAAGGTGGCGCTGCGGGTGAGTCAAGCAGGTGGACAGCCACAGTGTGTGTCGCTTCAAGCAGGGTGTGTGTGGACTGGCAGTGAGGGTGAGCCGATTCAAGCAGTTCCTCTACGTCATGCGCCTCAACAAGGTCAAGAAGGTGGCGCTGCGGGTGAGTCCCTTCAAGCAGGTGGCTCTGAGGGTGGGTGAGTAGGTCACACCACAGTGGCGACCGGGGATGCTCAAGGTGGACCGCTTCAAGCAGTTCCTCTACGTCATGCGCCTCAAGAAGGTGGCGCTGACGGTGAGTAGGCCACAGTGTGTGTGTCAGTAGGCCACAGTGTGTGTGTCAGTAGGCCACAGTGTGTGTGTCAGTAGGTAACGACAATGTAGGGTGAGTTGCTTCAAGCAGGTGGCGGTGAGGGTGAGTAGATGGACAGCCACAGTGTGTGGCAGTAACGGGTGGGCGTGAGAGGGAGTCGGAGTGGGACTGACAGCGAGGGCAGGTGCCAACAGGGGGCAGGAGAGTACAGGCGCCGACATCGAGGACAGGCGGCAGCGGCAGGGAGCGGGGGAGAGCGCCACGCGGTGGCACCACCTTCGTCGCCCCTTTTCACCCCATTTTATGTTCTGAGACGTCTCAAAACTCGCCTTGCGTGCATTGCATGTTCTGAGCTCCTTCCCCTGGCACTCCTACCCTTTCTGGCAGGCGAGGCAATGGTGGAGGGCATGGAGGAGGACGACATCTGGGTGGTGCAGGGGGATTTGGCCCGCCTGGACCCTTATTTCCGTTCCCCTTATTCACTCCTTGCCACCCCTCCTAACCGCTCACGGCAGGCGATGGTGGAGGGCATGAGGGAGGAGGACATCCGCGTGGTGCAGGGGGACTTGGCGCGCCTGGACCCTGTTGTGACCGGCAAGGCAACCCACACGGGCAATGCAATGCGGGCACACGTGGTTTGTTTCACTTATGCTCCTTCCCCTGCCACCCCCCCACTCCCCCTGGCAGGCGATGGTGGAGGGCATGGGGGAGGAGGACATCCGCGTGGTGCAGGGGGACTTGGCTCGCCTGGACTCTTATTGAAACCCTGGAGGCTGGCGCGTTCCCTGCCTGCCACCCCTCCTCTAACCCCTCACAACAGGCGATGGTGGAGGGCATGCGGGAGGAGGACATCCGCGTGGTGCAGGGGGACCTGGCCCGCCTGGACCCCAACGCCAGCGGGGTGGTGCCCATCGAGGCGCTGCCCCACGCGCTGCACTCACGGGGCTTCCACGGGCCTGCTGATGCCGTCGCCAGCATTATACATGAGGTGAGCCCTGCCTGCCTGCAGGGGGACTTGGCTCGCCTGGACCCCAATGCCAGCGGGGTGGTGCCCACCGAGGCGCTGCCCCACGCACTGCACTCGCGGGGCTTCCATGGGCCCGCTGATGCCGTCGCCAGCATCATTCATGAGGTGAGCCCTGCCTGCACGGCCTGCCTGCACGGCCTGCCTGCACGGCCTGCCTGCATGGTGACTTTTGAGTCGATTAAAAAGTTGCCCCACGCGCTGCACTCACGGGGCTTCCACGGGCCTGCTGATGCCGTCGCCAGCATCATACACGAGGTGAGCCCTGCCTGCATGGCCTGCATGGCTTGCTTGGCTTGCATCGCTTGCATGGCCTGCATGGTTTGCTTTGCTTGCATGAGGGTTTTTTTGTATTTGGTTATTGCGGAACGCCAACCACCAAAGGGTTACTCCTCACTCTGTTGCCCTGAAGTGCACATGTGATGAGCCAAGCCCTTGATGCAACCACAGCCCATGGGCCATCTTCCTGCCCCAGTGTGGGACGGCCGAGTTGAACCAGACTGGCAGGGTTTAGGGTTGACCCAGGCTTGACCTTTTGCTCATGTCCACTGTACTCTCCAACATTCATGTCACTTCCCAGCTTCAAGTCCATTCATGCAATGCTGCTGAATATCCAAGGCAGGACTGGCCCGAGTATCCAATGCGGGACGGGCCCCCCACACTGCTGAATGCAGTCGTGCCGCCCCCACCACCCGTCCCCTTTTGCCTCCCATCAGATCTGTCTAGCGTGATGGTGGTTCTTTACACTGATGCATGCTATGCATGCCCTCCCCGTGTGCCCATCAGATCTGTCTGCATGGCAAGGTGGCGTTTGACTATGCGTGCGAGCATCCATGACATGATGGTTGCCTTCCTCCCCCATGTGCCCATCAGATCTGTCTGCATGGCAAGGTGGCGTTTGACTATGTGTGCGAGCATCCATGGTGTGATGCTTGCCCTCCCCCTCCCATGTGCCCATCAGATCTGTCTGGACGGCAAGGTGGCGTTTGACTATGCGGACTTCTTTGTAGCGCTGCTGCAGCTGCATGACACCCCTACCATCACGATACCCTCCCCATGTACCCTCCCCATGGTGTGATGCTTGCCCTCCCCTTCCCCCGCCCATCAGATCTGTCTGGACGGCAAGGTGGCGTTTGACTATGCGGACTTCTTCGTTGCACTCCTCCAGCTGTGCAGCGTGGAGCAGCAGGAGAGCCTGTTCCAGGCGTTCTCTGTGTTCGACCAGGACCTCAGCGGGTACATCAGTGAGGCCGAGCTGCAGCGCGCCTGCGAGAAATACCGCGTCAACCGCGCTGTGGTGCAGGAGATGATGGCTGAGGTCAACCGCGACGAGGTGAGATGGTGGGGGAGGGGAATCGAGATGTGGTGAGTTCTTGATATGTCTCAAAAACACCCTCACTCCATGTGAGTACCGCGTCAACCGCGCCGTGGTGCAAGAGATGATGGCGAGTGGAGGGGGTGCTCATAGGTGAGAGGGAAGGGAGTCAACCGTGCTGTGGGGCAGGAGATGATGGCTGAGGTCAACCACGATAAGGTGAGCTGGTGGGGGAGGTCAACTGTACAGGGCGGGCGGACGGACGGAGTGCTCACAGGTGAAAGGGAAGGGAGTGAACAGGTGGCTGCAGCCTCAACTTATCTCCGCTGCTCCATTCTTTCCCACCAACTCCCCAGCCCTTCCTTTCGCACCCCTCCTTTCATGTCCCTCGACCCAATGCTATTATGTGTGTGTGTGTGTGTGTGCATGTGTGTGTGTGGTGGGGGGGGGGAGGGAGGGGTGTGTGCGTGTGTGCCTGTGTGCCTGCCTGTGTGCCTGCCTGTGTACCTGTCTGCCTGTGTGCCTGTCTGCCTGTATGCCTGTCTGCCCGTGTGCCTGTCTGCCTGTGTGCCTGTGTGTCTGCCTGCCTGCCTGCCTGTGTGCATGCGTCTGAGTGGGCAACAGGCGGGGCGGGTGGACAACAATGAGTTTGTGGCGATGATGCGCATGCAGGCGGGCGGGTGGACTACAACTATGCCGCTTACCCATGTGCCTCCATGGCCCCTCACCTGGCCCCACCATCCCTTGTCCAACCACCCCTCCCCACCCCTCACCAGGCGGGACGGGTGGACTACAACGAGTTTGTGGCGATGATGCGCATGCAGGCGGGCGGAGTAAGCCGGCGAACCATCGAGCGCCACATGGACAACGGCAGCATCAAGGAGATGGACGCGGGCGGCGCGTCAGGAGGGCCGTACGATGGGGACAGCGACGACATGCGCAGCGATGCCGCCTTCTCTGCTTCTGATGCCACCAGTGTTGGGAATGGGGGCGGGTTCTGATTCTAATCCCAGTGGGGGAGGCTGGGCTGGGGTGAAATTGAGGGCGTGTTGTTTGTGTCTGGCTCCCGCATACACTAACCAGTCTACTAGCTAATTCGTAGGTTCTTAACCAAGTGCAACGGATCTGGACCTATTGACAGAAGACTCCATGCGAGATCATTAAATGCATGCTCTCCTGATTGTCGCCTGCGCTTGCAATAGAATCTGCGCTTGTAGTTGTTGGGCTGAGATAGCCCCTTAGGATCTTTTCAAGGGAGAACTCTGGGTAGGATAGTGTTGTAGTAGCGGAAGCTTTAATGAAAGATTGTGAACCACCTTGCGCTGATATGTGAGGGCAAAGTAGATTGATTATAGCAAGGAAGTACAAGATTATATAATAATACAAGGAATATGAAAGGATGCAGTTTGTAACTACTTTACTGTTGCTGTTGCGGTTCGATACAGTACGACTCGGGCAACTGCTCTGTAACGAGTCAGTTGTGTGTCCTTAACTGTCGCGCTGTATTTGTCAGGTCAAAGGTCGCTTGACCTTTGACTTTCGCGTAACCTCCAGCAACCTCTCAACCTCCGAGGGTTGACTCGCGCTTGTTTCGATACTGCTTGCTTCGCTTCTGGTGCGATGTTTCGACACGGCTGAAGCGCTTAAGATTCACTGTTTCCAACACTCCCCTTCGCTTCTGGAGTGTCGCTGCTGATGACGTGGCTCTGTCCAGTCAGCAGCATGCAGTACTCGAACTTCTGCTTTCCGAGCTTCTTGGTCAAATAGTCAGCTGCCATCTCGGACGTGGGGCAGTATGACAGCTCGAGTCTCCCCTTCTCGATCTCGTCCTTCACGAAGAAGTAGCGCAGGGCGATGTGTTTCGTCCTGTTCGCGAAGCCGTTCTTGTTGGCGATGCGAATTGCTGACTGATTGTCGCAGAACAGGGTGAAGTTGGGTAACTCGGCTAACTTTGCTTCTTCCAGCAGCTCGCGAAGATAAAGTCCCTCCTTGGTGGCTGAGCAGAGTGCAATGTATTCTGCTTCAGCTGAAGATAGCGCGATTAATTCCTGCTTACTCGATTGCCAGGAGATAGGACCGATAGGTTCGTGGCGATAGACGTAGCCGGTGCGTGAGCGCCTGTTGTCGGAGTCGCCGGCGTGATCGGCGTCGACGTAGCCGATTAGCTTGGTTGGTGTAGTTGCGTTCTTGTGGTAGGTTAGGCCGATCGTCGGGGTGCTGATGAAGTAGTGAAGAGCGCGGTCGAGCTCCGCCAGGTGCTCTGTTTCGGGCTTCTTGAGGTAGGTAGCGAGCTGGCTTGCGGAGTATGAGAGGTCGGGACGGCAGGTAACAGCTGCGAAGAGGAGACATCCTAGCTTCCTCTGATAGTCGCGTACGCCGGCGGGTTTGAGTAAGGTGGATTTTCCCTTGTCGGCTCCTGTCGTGTAGCGGTATGGTGTTGAGATCGCGGCCGGCGTGAGACCGAAGCGTTTGGCGATGGTGTCGGCGTACTTTTCGGCGCTGAGGTAGATCGCATCTTCTTCTTCTCGGATGTTGAGGCCGAGGTACTGAGTGACGGTAGGCGAGACCGTGAGTGTGAGGTCTTGCTGCAGCTCCCCTTCGAACCAGGTAGTGATGCCGTCATTTGACCCGATGTAGAGGAGATCGTCCACGTAGACGATTAGTAGGACGTAGTCGTCGTTCTTCGTGAGGCGGTACATTCCTTGATCGTGCGGGAGTTGTTTGAAGCCGATGCGGATGAGGCGAGCGTGCAGGTACTGTTGCCATAGTCGCGGGGCCTGTTTGATCCCGTAGAGTGATTTTAGCAGCTGGCAGACGTGTGTGGAGTCTGTGTTGGAGCCGTGTGGCAACTCCACGAAGATCTCTGCATCAACAGGTGCGTAGAGAAAAGCATTTGCGACGTCGATTTGTCGCAACTTCTTCTTCTTCATGGCGGCGATCGCGAGGAGAATTCGCAGTGAAGTGTGGCGGCTGACCGGAGCGAAGGTTTCGGTGAAGTCACGTCCGTGCTCCTGGTCGAAGCCGCGCACGACCCATCGTGCTTTAAACTTGTCGATGGTGCCGTCTGCTTTCGTCTTCACACGGAAGACCCATTTTCCGGTAAGTATGGTCTTGTTTCGTGCTACGCCGATGGGAACGACTTTCCAGGTGTTGCGTTCTACTAACGCCTTCAGTTCCCTGTCCATGGCTTCGCGCCATTTTTCCCTGTGCTCCCCCCCCAGAGCCTGTTGAACTGTCGCAGGCTCCTTAGGAATGTCGGCGCCGTGGACTGCGGTGACGAGGCCAAGGATTTGGAGTCCACTCTGTGTGTAGCGGGGGAGTGTGGTGTCCTCGGGATAGACTGCTTCGTCTCCAGCTTCTGGATCAGGTGCGAAGTTGGGTCCTACGCGTTCTGCTTCGTTGGTGTTGACTTCAGCGGGTGTAACGTAACCGTCGTCGGCGAAACGGTAGTAAACTTCGGCGTTGATGCTTTCGCGTGGGTCTTCGTCGTCCATTGGTACGTCCACTGGGCAGTAGGGAAGAGGTCCGGCTTCTTCCGAGGCTCGGTCCACGTTCTGCTCGTCCCAGTCAGCTTCGTCTTCTGCCGAGGCGAAGGCTCGGGTGCCAGTGAATCCGCCCGTGAGGTCAGGTCTGTTGGCTCTGACGTACGCGAGATGAACGTCGAGGGTGAGGTGTTCGTAGAAGATTACATCACGTGCTGCGACTGTTTCCTTGCTGTTGATGTCGAAGATTTTCCATGCGTTGTGGTGTTTTTCGATGCCCAGGTGTACTCCCCACTGTGCTCGTTGGGAGAATCGACCGGCGCGTGCAGATGGTGGTCGGTACTGTACCATGCAGCCGAAGACTCGTAACATTTTTGTGCTGCCCAATTTTCCTGTCCACAGCAGGTGCGGTGATGCGTTGTTCGGGAGCGATGATGACGAGAGCAAGTTGTGCAGCATGACGGCGTGGTCCATTGCTTCGGGCCACTGGTGGTTGGGCAGATGCATGCCACGCAGCAGCTTGCGCATGGTGGCTTGAAGTGTCCTGTTCATCCTTTCTGCTACACCTTGCTGTTGATGGGCGTAGGGAAGGGAAATGAGTCGCTTGATTCCCCTTTCTGCCAAGTAGTCCTTGAACCTCTGTGAGGTGTATTCTCCTCCCCCGTCTGACTGAAAGCTTTTCAGTTTTACGCCCGATTCTCTTTCTGCTGCAGGAAGCCACGCGACGAACGCTTCGAAGGCCATGTCGCGGCTGGGTAGGTTGAGGTGCCAGACGTATCTGGTCGCGGCGTCGATGAAGGTAATCGTGTAGTTGTAGGCGTTTTGTCCGGGTTCGCGGTTGTACAGGATGTCGCTGTACACTTTCTCGAGCGGTGCGTAAGCTGGTGCGCTTGGATTGTGGTGAGATGGAAACGGCTGTCGTGTTAAGTCTGCTTCAGGGCAGGTGAAGCATGTTCCTCGAGCTCGCTGAAGTTCTCTGCCGTCGGTCAGTAGGAGTGAGTCCTTGTCAAGAACTCCTGCTCTTATTGTGTTGTTTAACACCGTGTGACTCGGATGTCCCATCCTTGCGTGCCAGGTTCCTTCAGTGGCGCGGTGTCCTTGGGAGCGTCGGTACATGTCGGAGTTGGAGTAGAAGCCGGCGGTGAAGTTGGCGCTACGGTGAACTTCTCGCGGTGCTGGTTGAAGCTGCTGTGCGGGTGTTGGTGGCGTGTCGTTGATGAAGGATGGTGCCGTCGAAGGACCGGCGACTGGTGTTGATGTTCCTACTGCTGCTGTCGTTGCTGCTGCCGATGTTGTCTCTGCTGCTGCCGATGTTGTCTCTGCTGCTGCCGATGTTGTCTCTGCTGCTGCCGATGTTGTCTCTGCTGCTGCCGACTGTTGAATCGTTGCTAACGCTCTTGTTCTTTCTGTTTCAGGAATGGTGTGTGAGTACCAGAAGCCGCCCGGACTGAAGTCTGGATCAAGATCCGGAGGATGTGTCCAGTTGGTGAAGTTCACGATGGCGTCACTGTCGGCGGTGCCAAGATCGGGAACGAAGTCAAGAACGAAGACGTTGTTCTTGAGGATCGCCTTTCCGATGTAGAGACCGCCTCTCCCGTGGTACAGCTTGAACTCCTGGGTGGTGCTGTCTGCTTCAAGATGGATGCCTTTCGCCATCAGCTGACTGACGCTTAGTAGGTTGTACCCGAGACCTTCTGCAATTAAAACCTTGGACATTTGCAGAATGACGTTTGTCTCCCGTGACTGAAGTTGAACGATTCCTTGTCGTCGTGTGCGCAGGTTTTGGTTGTTGGCGACGGTGATGACGACTTCTCGTTGAAGCTGATACTCTCGTTGTACGAAGCGTCCCGAAGAACACATGTGCTGCCCGCAGCAGCTATCCAGGAACCATGTGTCCTTCCCGGATGGCTCACTTTGGGCGATGGCGGCGTACGTTGGGTTCGGGTGAAGTAACTCGCGTCGAGGAGTGGTTTCATCGAGTTGTTCTTCCGGTGAGTAGTACGGTGGTGATTCCGTGACGCAGGAGTCACTCAATCTTGCCATGCAGCTGACGATGTTTCTTGCTCCTTGTGCAGGTTGTCCCGTTGAGGTCGTTGAAGCTTGAATCTGAGTCGTTGGGTTCGCCTGTGTTGACGTGACTTGGTTGCTTGAAGGCCGTAGATGCCGCTGCGGAGTTGTTGACTGTTGACGGTTTGGGCAATGTGTGCGCGGGTGCCCTGAAGTCTTGCAGATGTGACAGAAGGGAGGTACTGGCTTCGGTTGCTGCTGTCGGTCGATTGTTGTAGTTGTTGTAACGTCGCTGAGTGTGGAAGGCAAATTCTGATGCTGTTGTCTTCTTCCTGTGTCGTTCTTCTTGCAGGTCCATGTCCTGCTGCTCGGCGTGGATTTCGGCGCAGAGTGCTGCTTCAGAGATTCTGCCGTGGGCTCGGAGGATAGCTTTGGTGGCGCGCCATTGAGGACCGAGGCCGCCAATGATGACTGTCACGAAGGCGTCTTCAGAGATCGACCCTCCGCATCGA